GCGAGGTGAGTGAGGCGCCAAGTGAGGCTCCGCTGGGGCGGGGGTCCGGGGCGCCTGCCGCGGCCTTCGGGGCGCTCGTTTCCCGCCTAGGTAACCGGCCCTCGCCCCGGCGGGTGGGCCTCTGACACCGAGAGGACGAGGCTTCGGCGATCCGAGATCCAGGCCTTGTCCTGGAGCTGGGGAGCAGGAGCATGCATCTGGCCTCGGGGGGGCGCGACCTTGCTAAGCGGCTCCCATGTTGATATTTAAAATCCTCTTATTGTTGAGGAATGAATGGAGCTCGCAGGCGGTAGGTACCTGCGGGGACAGATGGGCTCTGTATGCCCTTAAGCCAAGTGCACTCGAATTTCCATTGGCCTAGGGGGCCTGGAGCCTCCACGGCAAGGGCCCTCGGTGTATTCCATCAGGGGACGTCGTTACCTTCTTTCTCTGATTTGCAAGGATTGGTGTTGTCATCTTTCTCCTTGACTTTGCCCACGTTCCAGGGTTTCTTACAGACGTCATGGACAGGTTCACGGGCAAGGCCAGAATGTCTGTCCTTAGGTATTCCGGTCTGCATAGAAAAATAGGTGGGCTAAACCTATAACTTCTCACGCGATTGTTTTTGTACTTGTTAATGGTTCCTTTATCTTGACAGTTCAGAAATGTCCAGAAATGGCAAAGAACCGTTTTTTGTGAAGTTTTTAAAGTCTTCAGACAATTCTGAATGTTTTTTTAAAGCTCTTGAGGTAAGACTAGTTGGAAACCCCTTGTTTGATGCTGTGAATTGATTTTCTTGTTTTGAAGTGTTTTTGATATGTTGGACTTTATTTTAGAAATAGATATTTTATTTTCTTAATAGTTTTACTGTAGTCAACACTAATATAGGTATTTCATTTTTACATATTTTTAGTTGCTGTAAGTATATCGTTATTATGTATTTCGGGAGGACTTGAAATCTATTATGACATTTGTGTTTAATGTGGCTGTCCTACAGTTCTTGGAAATTAAGGTGCTTTCTTTTGTCTCCTAACCAGAGTGGTCCTTTGTGTTTTTTAAAAATTTGAGTTGGTCACGTACTGGTCATACTTCAAAATTTTTTCGTTAATTGTTAAAAAGTTTGTTTCATTACATACAGTATTCTATGAGTGCTGGTAGGGGTGGGTTAGAGCCTTGCTGCTTACAGACCCCAGCAGTATTAGCATGGCCTGTGAGTTTGTTAGAAACGTAGAATCTTGGACTCCAACCCAGATCTACCAATTAGAATCATCATTTTTAACAAGATCCCCAGTGCACGTTCAAGTGTGAGAAGCCATTGTAGAAGACTTTCCCTTAAAGTTCATTTATTCAACAAATATTTATTGAGTGTCCATGGTCTGATAGACACTACTCTAATACGTGGGATGATAAACCAGTGATGAGAGCAGGCTAAGATTTCTGCTCTCTTAGAACTTACATTCTAGCAGGAGTGAATAGACACTAATCAGACATGATAAATGAGTAAACTCTGTATTAGTTACAACATGCTAAGTGTTTCAGGTAGAGAAAAAAGCAAAACAGGTTCAGGGGTTCCATGTGATGTCTGTTGAAGGTGGAAGAAGTAGGATGGTTATAGTTTTATTTTGTATTTCTTAGAGACAGAGACAGGGTCTCACTCTGTTGCTAAGGCTGGAGTGCAGTGGCTTGATCCCAGCTCCCTACAGCCTTGACCTCCTGGGCTCAGGCAATCCTTCCATGTCAGCCTCCCAGGTAGCTGGGACTACAGGCACATGGCACCACATCCAACTTGTAATTTTAAATAGAGCAGGTTAGACTCTATGGAGAAGAAGATATTTGAGTAAATGTGAAAGAGATGAGACAGCCATGCACATACTTGGGGAAGGTTTCGGGCAGAGAGAATACGTGTATGAGACCCTGGGAAAGTGTCGTGTAGTAAGCAAAGGTCGGGGGAAGAGTGTTAAGGAATGCTTTAGAGAATAAGGGTAAAGAGGTCCTGTAGGGTCTTGTGGGCCACTGTAAAGACTCTGACTTACCAAGGCATCGTGTTGCATACCTGTAGTCCTAGCTTCTCAGCTTAGACCCAAGAGCTCAAGGCTGCAGTGGGCTATGATTGTGCCACAGCACTGTGCAACAGACTGGGCAATAGAGTGAGGTCCTGTCTCTAAATTAAAGAAAGGAGAAAAAGACTTTTTTTTCCCCTCTCAGTGAAATGCATAACTGCTGGAGAGTTTTAACCAGAAGAGCAGAGCACAATCCGACTTACTGTGTTAAAAGGATAACTCTATTTAACAAAACATCTTCAAAATTGGTTCAGAAAATATTCGAGTGCTTACTGGGTGTCAGGATATGGTGGCAAACAAGATCCATCGTGAAACTTCTGGGGGAGAGAGAAAAGCTGTATATGTTTTTAAAATTTTATTTTTCTTCATCAGATAGACTAAAGGGGTAGGGGAGGGGTATTTTAGAAAGCATGATCAGGAAGGGCATCTCTGTGGAGGTGACATATAAGCAGATCTGACAGAAGTGAGGAACCAAATCAGGTGAAGACCTGGGAGAAGAGTATTCCCTGCTGCAGTATCTAGCGCAAAGCCTGTGAATGAGGTTATGCTTAGCTTGTTCTGGGCTTAGCAAGACAGCAAAAGTGGCTAGAGTAAGCAAGGGAGAATGAAAAATAGGAGGTAAGAATGGGGAGATATAGGAAGTGGACAGACCATGTGGTCTTAGAGGCCATGGTAAGAAATGTGGAGATGAAATCTACATGTGATGGAAAGCTATGAAAGAGTTTTGAGCAGAGATTAATATGATCTGACTTGTATTTTTAAAATGATTACTAGCTCTCGTATGGAGAACAGATTTAGGGCAAGGGTGGGAAAGAGACTATTTGGGAGACTTTTGCCGAGGTCTGCATGAGAGGTGGTGATGATTTGAGATGGAATTTGTAAAGCAAATAGTACCTGAATAAAGAGGACTAATTTTAGGTACATTCTTCTTTTATTTTTTCTTGCAGTCAATAAAAGAATTCCAATCAGAAGAATATCTTCAGATTATTACACAAAAAGAGGCATTGGAGATAAGGGAGAATGATAGATCACTGTATATTTGTGACCCTTTTGATGGCATTGTGTTTGATCACCTCAAAAAGGTTTGCTGACTTCTAGTGTGTAGTCTGTTTTTTGGATTGTCTTTGCTTCAGTGCACCTAAATGCTTTACTGTTGATGAAGCACTTTGCAGATTATGAATATAATATAGTTCTTTTGGTTTGAGGAGATCATGATAATATTTTTTAAAGGCCAGTTATGTTGCAGTAAGTTTTATATGTAGTTTTTATATTTCAGGCGATATACCTTCACTTAGTATAAATGAACCTATAGTACTGAAGCATTTTAGTGATGGAATTTGCCCTAGTTAAACTCGATTTGATTGTAAGATATTTTGGGGGGAAATAATAATGAGTAGGGAAAGACCTCAACATAGTGCTTGGAGTTACCTGTTTTTCCTGTATGCTCTTATACACAGAATTTTAATACCTGTACCTTGTATAGGATCTGAAAAATTATATCCTAGAAGGAAGCATTTTGGGATTCAGTACTGCTAATATACCAGTGAGCCATCTTATTTCTTTTGTTGATTCTGAAGTCTACTAACATATTACTATTTTGGTGTCTGGATAAGAGAGAAGCATTGAAATAAAAGTAAACTGGCTATATTTTCATCCAGATTACAAAGTGGTGATTCTTGTTTGCAGAAGAAAACATAGAAGAGTGTATAGATACAGTATCTGGACAATTTTTTGAAGGTCTGTGCCCACCTTGCCAAGAGCATTGTTGATCTTTATTCCTTTTGGAAATACCACTGCTTGTCAGATAGAATCAGCATCCATCCGACTCTCATTTTCTTAACTGGGCACAGTGGTGTGCACCTGTAGTCTCAGTTACTCAAGAGATTTAGGCTAGAGGATCGCTTGAGCCCAGGAGTTCGGCCACCCTGGGCAACACAGTGAGGCTTCATCTCTTTTTTTTTTTTGAGTCGGAGTCGCACTCTGTTGCCCAGGCTGGAGTGCAGTGGCACACTCACAGCCACCACAGCTTCAACCTGCTGGGCTCAGGTGATCCTTCTGCTTCAGCCTTCCAAGTAGCTGGAATGTGCCACCATGCCCAGCTAATTTTTTGACTTATTGTAGAGACAAGGTCTTACCATGTTGCTCAGGCTGGTCTAGAACCCCTGAGCTCAGTCAATCCTCTCGCCTTGGCTTTGTCTCTTAAAAAAAAAGATAAAAAGACTCCAACCAAACAAGCAAAAAACTCATTTTGCTGTGTCTAACCAAAAAGTTAGTGATAATCCTTTACCTGAAGATATTTGAGACTGGGCACAGTGACTTATGCCTGTAATCCTGCCACTTTGGGAGACTAAGGCAGGAGGATTGTTTGAACCCAGAAGTTCAAGACCAGCCTGGGTAGCATAGCGAGTCCTCGTCTCTAAAAATAATAATAAATAAAGATATTTGAATTAGTCATGCAGTGATAACTCTGGCAACTCTAGTCTTCTTAGGCTGGCTTGAGTGTGCTGATGTAGAGCAACACTGTCACCCGTAATATGAATGAAAATGAAAAATCATTTATTGACTTTTACCTGTAATGTCTTAGGGGGCTCTTTGTGGGACAATCTCATGCCACAATGTCTTACTAGAAAGATATTGTGCTGCAAAGTATTTAAAATACATATGTAGAAACTGCCTGGGATTATACATATATTTTGTGACTTAATAGATATTTTAGAAAGGCTTATTTAGTTGAAGTCTCTGTCGCCCAGGCTGGAGTGCAGTGGCACATTCATGGCCACCACAGCCTCGACCTGCTGGGCTCAGGCACTCCTTCTGCTTCCAAAATGCTGAGATTACAGGTGTGAGCCACTGTGCCTGGCTTGACCCTTATACTTTTGAACTGCTTTCTTGGCTAGGCTAAATGCTTCTTTTGAAAAGGTTATATGAATATTTACTTACTACGTTAAGATTGTTTCAGAGATTAAAATTTTAATGGCAGTTTTGAGTGAAAGGGGCTCTTGGAATTTATTTCTTTTGATAGCTTGCATTGTTTGATTAGCTTTTTTTGTGTGTGTGTTTTATGTATTGTGTATTTGAGAAATTATATAATGGATTTTTTCTTGTAACAATTTGCTGATTTTTCTGTATGGTCATCTACTTATGTAAAGAATTGGTAAATATTATAAAATGAAATTTTGTAAGACTGATGATCTTTTCTTTCTTAACTTACTAAAACTTTTTCTTTTTTCTTCTTTTTTATTTTTTTATTTTTTAGCTTGGCTGCAGAATTGTTGGCCCTCAAGTAGTCATATTTTGTATGCAGCACCAGCGATGTGTCCCAAGAGCTGAACATCCTGTTTATAATATGGTTATGTCTGATATAACCATATCTTGTACAAGTCTGGAAAAAGAAAAAAGGGTAGATGTTGAGGGAAATGTATGATTGATCAGTCTGTGTATCTGTTGTGCTAATTCCTCTCCGTGATCAATTTTTCACTGCTTAGTAGATAGCTTAAAAGATCTTCAACTTAGTGTTTGTGACTTTTAACAAAGTTCAGTACACAACCACAATGTCTGTATATATTTTTAAAATAAGTTGAATGTAGTAGAATTTGTTTTGTTGAAAACTGGCTAATTGAAGTTTTTTGTTTTAATTTAAAAGGAAACTCACTTTTTTCCTTGCACAGTCACTTACATTATTTTTGAATCACTTACCTGGATAATTTTTTAAGAGGGCATTCTAAGAGCCACGTTTAAAAAAAAAGATTATGTATTACATAGATGGAATTTATAATGTTTAAAAATATATGTCTAATATATAAAAATACAATCTTTATTATGGAAGCAACATAGTTGAATAAATTAATGGAGTTGAAAGAGATAAATATAGGAGAATAATTTTTAAAATTATAATTCATATTCTCTTCCAAAAAGTAATTTGATTATCTAACTTTATAATGGTGCATAACATGTATGTATTCAAGGTATCAACAACAAAAGATATTTATGGAATAGTATATAAAAATAGCAGACATGTTGTTTGCTTCAGTACTAATGTAGTTTCTTTTGGGGCTTCAGGAAGAAGTTCATAAATATGTACAGATGATGGGCGGACGAGTATACAGAGACCTTAATGTATCAGTAACTCATCTTATTGCAGGAGAAGTTGGTAGTAAAAAATATTTAGTTGCTGCAAATCTCAAGAAACCTATTTTGCTTCCCTCTTGGATAAAAACACTTTGGGAGAAGTCACAAGAGAAGTAAGAAAGACATTTTTATATCTTCTAGATTTGAAAAAAATGATGCATTCAAGCGTTTTGGCATACTCTGGGTTTTCGTATGGTATACTCTTTGGATTTATTATTCAGGACAAAAGCAGGGTCAATATTCTTTTCTCCAGTGAAAACAGAAGAGCAAAATCTACAGGCTCTTATTATCAAGGTATAAGTTGACAGGTAGAATAGGCTGTGAGGTTAACATTAGCTGCAGGGTAAGAAATGCTTTAATAATACAAATTTCAGCAGTAAAATAATCAAGAAAATCCATTTGGCAGCTCTGTAGCTCTTATGTTGCCTTATCCTTCAACGCCATGCCAGTGTGCTAAACTGGAGAATAAATTAGCCATCCTGACAGTCTTCACTCACAAGAGGGCATATGTAAGATACAATATAAACATATGTAAGCCATCAGCTAAGATGCGATCATTCAATAAATATCAATTAAACCCATTTTATGCATCTAGCCTTAGCTAGAATATATGTAATAAGCAAAACAGGATACCATCCCTTCCCTCATAGAGCTTAGAGCCTGTTTTAAAAGAGCATAAGTTTCAAGTTTCCCTTGAAATTAGATTACCAACCGTAAGTCCAAATATCTCAGAATTCTATTAGCCTATGAATTCTATTGACTTGTTTTTAACACTATCCAACACTAAATTTATCTCCATGTCAGCATCCGTCATTCCCAACCCAAATACTTCATCAGCACATCTACCTAGCATGGCAACAGGACAATAATGATAGTTTTGTTGATATTCTGCCAAAAATAATTCCTTATATAATGGAAGAATTAGAAAGTTTATTTTTCTAGTAGACAACCTAAGAACCTTTGTGTTTTTAAGTAGAGATTCAGTCATACAATTTTGGGAAATTCACTATTTTGACCAACAAGGGCTCAGAGTTAATGAAGGTATTTTTCTATTAAAACAGTTTTATTTGAGAGACTCTGAAACATTACGTGTGTGTGTGTGTGTGTGTGTGTGTGTGTGTGTGTGTGTATGTGTATGTGTGTTTGAGTCAGTCTCACTGTCACCCAGGCTGGAGTGCAGTGGCACTCTCACGGCCACTGCAGCCTCTGCTGCACTCAGATCTGCTGGGCTCAGGCGATCCTTCTATCCAGCCTTCCAAGTAGCTGGAACTGCAGGCACGTGCTATCACGCCCAGCTAATTTTTTGATTTTTTGTAGCGATGAGGTCTGGCCAAGTTGCTCAGGCTGGTCTCGAACTCAGGTAGTCCTCTCACCTCTACCTCCCAAAGTGCTGGAATTACAGGCATGAGTCACCATACCTGGCCTCTACTTTTTTTTTTTAACTTGGGTTCTTACTTTGTCACCCAGGCTGGAGTGCAGTGACACAATCATGGCTCATCACAAACTGGACTTTCTGAGCTCAGGAGATCCTTCTGCCTTAGCCTCCTGGGTAGCTTGTGCCACCACGCCCAGCTAATTCTTTTTATTTTTTGTAGATGTGAGGTCTCGCTATGTTGCTCAGGCTGTTTCTGGGCTCAAGCTGTCCTCACATCTTGACCTCCCAAAGTGCTGGGATTAAAGGCATGAGCCACAGCACCAGGCCTGAAACTACTTTTTATTAGAGACGTAGTATTAGAGCTAGATGAGCAATTAGTATTATTCTGAGTGTTTATCAGTTCTCTTTCTCTTAGAAACGATTGTAAATCCTAAATAATGAGGAAAACAATAGTGATATTAGTGGTGTTTGTCATTATGCTTCTGTTAAATTTTAAACTATCTGGTAAATTTAGTGTTTTTCTAATCATTTGTTTCCTGCAGGAAAATAGCTAAATATACTGATATAAACATGGAAGACTTCAAGTGTCCTATTTTTCTTGGTTGCATAATCAGTGTGACTGGTTTGTGTGGCTCAGACAGGAAGGCAGTTCAACAACTCACAGTTAAGCATGGAGGTCAATACATGGGACAGTTGAAAATGAATGAATGTACACATCTCATTGTGCAAGAACCAAAAGGTAAAACTATGTTTCATAAATGGACAAATGAAAACTTTTCACTAGTATTTAACATTTTAAAATCTTTACAGAACAGCTTTTGCTTCCTGCAGAGATAGTTTGGGTTACAGTCTATAGAAAAATTATATAACCTTCCTAGTGTTTATCTAGGTCATTGAATAAATATTAAAAAAACAAAAATTTGTTGTGATGTTTTATCTAAATTTACTATTAGATCTTTTGATTAAAAAAAAATTCTCACACAGTTACCAAATACTTAGGAAAAGTTTGAGTGCCTAACAAGAAAAATAATAGATGTGGCTAAGTGACATTTCGTTTTAATGACTAATTTTAAAAGCTGCATTTTGTTTTTAAATGAATGAATCATTTGAGCTAAAGTATTAACTTAATACTTTGCAGAACATAAGACAGTAAAAAATAAAAAGGACATTACCAATAAGAAGAATTATTTTAAATTACTATTTTGGTGTTATATAAACTTTATTCTGGATAATTTTTAAATCAGTGCTCTTATATACAAATTGATAAGAGATGAGTTTTGTTAATGTTTTTATCTCACCGTATATCTGTAGTTTGTTTTACTAAGCTACTTAGATAAGAAAATTTGAGAATAAATTAAGGTTGATTGGTATTGTGCTTAAGTTAGAACTTTGGGTATGGCCAATTGTGATAGGATGATTGTGAGTGGAGCTGATACTGCTATTGCTTTTCTGAATCATTGCTGACTCTCAAGAATGCCCAAAACCACCTTTTATGTTACGTATTTACCTCAATTTTCTGTAATATTGTTTCAGAATACACTGTTAGAGATTTTTAAGGTAATAACAAGATGTATCTTTAACATGATTGCTCTATCTATTTGCCTATCTATCCTGGACTTTAAGTACAATCCTGTTGACATTGGAACAACCTATTCGAAGCTGGGATTTATTATACTACATGCATTTACAATTTTCCCAGTTATCATATACGTTCTTATTAAAACCATATAATAATTCTGACTTATCCCCATTTTACAGATTAAGAAAATGGTTTGAAGAAACTAAGTGCTGTTTACCTATATGCAAACCAAGTCTAGCATTATTTCAGTTACTCCACAGTTGCCTCTTTCTTAATGCAACTTGTGTAAAAGACAAACCCCTCACACAGTATGTGTATTTATATAACACACACATAGGAAACATAATTAAGTAATAGCTTAAGATATTACTTTTTAATATACCATGTAGCATACTGCTTAAAAGTAAGAGTAATTACTGAGAACTTTCATTTTGTTGGCAGTTTTTAAAATAATCTATTATAATTTGAATATTTCTATAAAATTAGATTTTAATGGTTTGTATTTCCCTGTTCTCTCTCTTTTTCTCTATTTCTTTCTCAATAAACACGATAGGTCAGAAATATGAATGTGCCAAGAGATGGAATGTACACTGTGTGACCACACAATGGTTTTTTGACAGTGTTGAGAAAGGTTTTTGTCAGGATGAATCCATGTATAAGACAGAACCTAGACCAGAAGCAAAGACTATGCCTGATACTTCAACTCCTACTGGCCAGATCAATCCAATTGATAGTAAGTCATAGTGAAAACAGTGATTTTAAAGACAATCAGTTTTCTATGTAAGAATTGATATGCTAAAAGGATCGCAGAGATAGGGATTTTTTTTCTTTTTGCTATGCTTCTAGGCATAATTGTATATTATAAAATAGCCAGATTGTATAAAAAGGTAGAAATATCAGAACTGCTCCTGGTATTTCTTTCTAGAATTAATGATTGCTTTCTTTTTTACTCTGATGTATTGCAAGAGATGATCAGAGAAATTAAGAACACTAATGGATAGAGGCTTAAGATAAGAGTCTCTTAAATTTTACTGAGATGCAAATATTCATATGTTTTCTTTGTTTACTGTTTTACTGTAGTTGTTATAGATCATCTGTATTAGTATTAAAACAGTTTCTGGCCAGGCACGGTGGCTCATGCCTGTAATCCCACTACTTTGGGAGGCCGAGGCGAGTGGATTGCCTGAACCCGTGGGTTCGAGACCAGCCCAGACAACTTGGCGAGACCTCATCTGTACAATAAATAAAAAATTAGCCAGGCATAGTAGCACGTGCCTGTAGTTCCAGCTACTTGGAAGGCTGAGGTGGAAGGATCGCCTGAGCCCTGCGGGTCGAGACTGCGGTGGCTGTGAGCATGCCACTGTACTCCAGCCTGAGTGATAGAGTGAGAATCCAACTCAAAAAAAAAAAAAATCAAAAAATAAGCCAGGTGTGGTGGCATGCATCTGTACTTCCAGCTACTTGGAATGCTGAAGCATAAGGATCACCTGAGCCCAGCAGGTCAAGGCTGTGGTAGCCGTTAGCGTGCCACTGCATTCTAGCCTGGGTGACAGAGTGAGACTCCGACTCAGAAAAGTTTCTTACTTGTAGGTGCCATGTTGACAAAATAATACAATTTGTTTTTCATGTAATCTGCTTGGACCTTAAATTCAGCAACTTCAGATTTTTATGGTATATAAGCTACTTATTAAGAAAATGTATTAAATATATTTTCATTTAAATAGGTATGAGACTTAATTTAATTTTCCCTTTTCATACTTTGCCACTAAGGTTTTAGTAAACACCTTGGAATCTTTCTTTGAATATTGTCTATAGCCCTTTATTTGTAAGAAAAGTTAATCCGTAGAAAATAGGTAATCATAGTTATTTTATCTCCATAAACTTATACTTTTTTTAATATTTAGATCGTACTCTTTCAGATGTCAGCCATATTTCCAACATAAATGCAAGTTGTATAGATGAATCAATATGTAATTCAGTTAACAGCAAATTGGAGCCTACACTTGAAAATCTTGAAAATCTGGATGTCAGTGCATTTCAAGCACCTGAAGATTTACTAGATGGTTGTCGGGTACGTCTTTTATGTAATAATTGCAGTAGGTGATTATATACATTAGCACTCCCTTGCCTGTATCTGCATAAAGCTCTCTACTCTAGCTAAGAAGATGCACTCATTAGACCATCCATCCTTTGGCTGTGAGTGTCCCTCTGCCTGGAATGTACCTTCATCTGGTATTCTTCAAAGTTTTTTAACTCTTTTCTGAACCTTTCTAACTCTTCAATGAGAGTACTTAGTTTCTGAACCACTTACAAGACTTTTTTTTTTTTTTTAGATAGGGTCTTCCTCTGTCACCCATGCTGGAGTGTAGTGGCTTAATCATAGCTCACTGTAACTTTGAACTTCTGGGCTCAAGCAGACTTCCTGCCTCAGCCTCCTGAGTAGCTAGGACTTCAGGTGCGTGCCACCATGCCTGGCTAGTTTTTAAAAAATTTTTTCTAGAGGTGGGGGTCTCACTAGTTGCCCAAGCTTGGACTTTTATTTATAACTATCATGTAAGTGTTTCTAGTATATTAGACACTGTGCTAATCATTTTCCATATGCTATATGTAGTGGCACAGCTTACTCTAAAATGGATATTATCTTGAGGGTAAGACTTAGAGAATTAAAATTCTTTTTCAGAATTGCATAGACATTAAGTGGCCTGTCATATACTTCCAATTCTGTGTTCCTAACCATAAGAGCCACTGCTTTGTTATCTCTTGGGTTATTTAATTTTTTAGTGTAAGGATGACTGTCTTATAAGTTTTTTGACTGAAACATCATGCATTGTACTTTTTCAGATTTCCTAGAATTGAATATTTAATATATTCCTATTTGTAGAATGACTAGACTGTGCGTTGATTTTTACAAAGTAGCAAAAGTTTAACCCTACCTTATTGGGGAAACGGCAAATGACCTTAACATTCTATACTTCTGAAACTTACCAACTTACTTGCTGCACAGAAATTGTTTGGTATAATCTTTTATCCTAGACCCTACTAAATCTAGATATGATTTTTAATATTTTTTACATATAAGAAGTATATGATTCTCAATTTTTTATAAAATACTAGTAATGGAGGTGATTTACTTTGGGATACAAATGCAGTTTAAGGTAGATTTGTCATTCTTAAATTTTTTAAGGGCATTTTATGTAAAATAGAAGTAAAAAGGTTTTTTTGTTTGTTTTTGAGTTGGGGGTTTCACTCTGTCACCCAGGCTGAATTACAGTGGCATGATCACAGCTCACCTCAGTCTAGAACTCCAGGGCTCAAGCAGTCCTCTTCCCTCAGCCTCCCGAGTAGCTGGGATTACAGGCACATGCCAGTGGCTAATTTTTTGATTTTTTTTTTGTGGAGACAGGGTCCCTGTTGCCCAGGCTTACCTTGAGCTCCTGGGCTCAAGTAGTCCTCCTGCGTCAGCCTCCCAAAGTACTGGGATTACAGGCATGAGCCACCACTCCTGGCTGAAAAAGATTTCTATGTTGGTTATATTGGTTTAAATATATACATCCTGATAAATTAAAATAAGTTATTGCAGACACATTATCCTCAAAGCATTGTGCTCAGTTCTTTTTTTTGTTTAATAAACTCTGAAAAATACCTCAATTGATAGCAAAGTAACTTGTTTAAAGAGCTTAAGCATCTTGCCCATGGTTATGTGGTTAATCATTGGCAGCTCAAAATCAGGATTTAAACCCAGGTTTTCTGAATTCAGACAACTAGGTTATTTCTGTAGTTCCTTTAAAGTTTACGAGTAGTAAGACCATCACAATTTAGGAAGTTACCTGCATTTTAGAAAGTATGCCCTGATATTTAGAAGGTTTGGATTTTAGCTTCTTTTCATCGATAGTCTCAAAATATTTGCCAAAGTATCCACTGTGAAAGATAGTACTATGTGTATTTTTAAAGTGACAGGAAAAAAAAATCAAAGTTCCAGAACTGTTAAAAATCAATACAGTTTTTTACTTTTTTATATATCTTAAAATGTACACAAGTTGTCTTATTTACTCACAGTGGATTTAGATATGTACTTTAATACATTTGTTTCTATTGCAAGAAATAAAACATCTAAATATATTAATCTAAAGTAAATATTTTCTTTCTTTGCAGATATATCTTTGTGGTTTTAGTGGCAGAAAGTTAGATAAACTGAGAAGGCTTATTAACAATGGAGGAGGAGTTCGTTTTAATCAGCTTAATGAAGATGTAACTCATGTCATCGTGGGAGATTATGATGATGAATTGAAGCAGTTTTGGAATAAATCAGCCCACAGGTTTTGTCACTTTTTGATTCATAGCCTTTACTAATACATAATGACTTTTTAAAAAATTGCATATCAATGCAAGTATGGGAACTGCATGGCAAGTGGGGTGGTGGTGTTTATAGCTTAAACTAGTAAGTAACTCTGTGCTGTTTTTGTAGGCCTCATGTAGTGGGAGCAAAGTGGTTGCTAGAATGTTTCAGTAAAGGTTATATGCTTGCTGAAGAACCATATATCCATGCTAATTATCAGCCAGCGGAAATTCCAGTTTCAGATCAGCCTGAAAGTAAAGCAACTGTATTAAAAAAGAAGAACGGTAGCTTCTCTAAGAAAGACTTCTCTCCCAGTGAAAAGCACGAGCAAGCTGATGAAGATCTGCTCTCTCAATATGTGAATAATAATTCCACAGTAGGTAAGAAATAAATGACTAGTATTTACAGCTAGTAAGAAATGTTTTATAGCCTAATACATGCTTGTATGATTTCTGCCAAGTTTTCTAGATTTGAAGTTAAACTAAACTTCTTCTTTTCTTAAAATTTTGTTTGTAACTTTTCTGAGCAGGTAAGGCCATAGGTCCCGGAACCCTTTAAGCCTCTCTCTTCTCTCTTAAGTAACCAGCTCCATTTTGACCTGTTAAATATACAGGCATTGTTTGGTTTGTGTGTGAATTTGTAATAGCATGAACTTTTTCATTTAAACCTTTTAACAAATGCCTGTTACTGGATTTTTGTGTATCTGTAAGTAATACGTGTATTCTTTTGTTTTCTGTATATTTTAATTTACACAAATGATAGATGGTTTGTATATTATTACCCTCCACTCCCAACATGAAAGATACTCATCTATCCAAGTACCTAATTATGAATATCCCACACAGCTATATGAATATACAACAATTTTATCCTTTTTCCCACCACTGGATGTTTTTCTCATGTTTCTTTCTTGCCATTACAAACAGTACTGCTGAGATTATCCTTGTGCGTGTCTCCTTGTGCACACGAGTAAGAATTTTTTTAGTGTATAGGCTCAAGAATGGCCTGGTTGGTTCATGGGATATGGACATCTTTAAATGTCATTCATAATGCAGATTGCTTTCTGAAGTGTTTGGCTGACTTTATCAAAATATACTTGAACAACAGTGAATAAGGTTCCTATTGTTCCCTATTCTTCCAGCATATGGCATTGTAAGACTTGAAATTTTTGCCAATCTGATGGGTGTAGAATAGGATATCATTGTGGCTTTAATTTCATACTGTGATTATGGAATAAAGTAGAGCATCTTTTTTAGTGTTATTTATTCTTAAGATTTTAAGGTACAGTATTTTGAGTCTTTTAATCTATTTATTTGTGATTTGTGTTTTTCTGTTTTACATAAGAAGTTTCCGTGCTTTAGGGTAAAAGAGTTATTCTGTATATTATTTTGAAAGTGTTAAAATTTTGCTTTTTCACATTTATGTTTTTAAGCTTTCTGGAGTTGACATAAAGTGTTCTAATTTTATTTTTATCCATGTGGATTACCAGTTGTTTTTAGCCCTTTTTATTGAATAGTCCATCGTTTTACCAATCATTTGCACTGCTGTCTCTGTTGTTATATTAAGTGTCTGTTATATGGACATCTGTATCTAGACTTTCTTTTTTGTTCCATTGAGATACTACACTGAGAGACAGTCTTATTATTAATACTCTGTAATATGTTTTGTTATCCGAGATGAAAACTCTCCAATTTTCTTTACAAAAATGTCATAAATATTCTTGGCTCTTTGCTTTCATACAGTTTTTAAAATTAACTTGTCAATTTCCACAAAATCACTCTGGAAATTTGGTTGAAATTCTATTATATTTATAATATGGAAGATAATTGACACATTTTTTACTTAAAAAAACTTTATGAATATAGGTTATTACTATGTAGTTTTGTTTTTTCTTATATCTTTCAACAAAGTGTAACACCTATATTCTTAAGATCTTAGACATGCCATGTTAGATTTTTTCCCTAATCTCTTGTCTATATTATGGGTTTTTAAATAGTTTAATTTATATATCTTTTTATTTTTTATTTTTATTTGAGTTGGTGTCTCTGTCACTCAGGCTGGAGTGCAATGGATGCTCACAGCCACTGTTAGCCTTGACCTGCTGGTCTCAGGCTCTCCTTCCACCTCAGCCTTCCAAGTAGCTGGAACCACAGGCATGCACCACCACATCCAGCTAATTTTTTTTATTATTATTTATTGTAGAGATGAGGTCTTGCCAAGTTGCCCCAGCTGATGTCAAACCCCTGAGCTCAGGAAGTTCTCTCGTCTCTGCCTCCCAAAATGGTGCCATATTATCTTTTTAAATTACTTTTTTTTTTAAGAGACAAAGCTTCACTCTGTCTCCCAGGCTGGAGTGCCAGTGGTGCTATATTGGCTCACTGCAGTCTCAAACTTCTGGGCTTAAGCAGTCCTTCCACTTCAGTCTCCTGAGTAGCTAGGACTACAGACATGTGTCACCACACCCAGCTAATTTTTTGAAAACTTTTTTGTGGAGACAGGATCTCACTGTTTTGTCCAGGCTGGTTTCGAACACTGGCCTCAAGCAATCCTCCCACCTTGGTCTCCTAAAATACTGAGATTACAGGCATGAGCTACCACGTCCAACCTAAATTACATTTTTTAAACTGTTTGCTGGTATATGAGAATAAAATTGATATTTTGAATTGATCTTAAACTTTTCTATAGATTGCTTTGGGTATTGAATTTTTTAAAATGGTGTACCATTCTAGGAATTTACAGTGCTAGCTCTTATGTTCAGGGTTTTCCTTGGGGTATTGAGTTTTATTAAGTACTTTTCTTGCACTTGTTGGAATGGTGATATGACTTTTCTCCTTTTAATGTGTTAAATTGTGTTAATGGGTGTTCTTTTATAATATCAACTTTAAGTTCTTATACATATGATTTTTAATCTTTATTTAATTTATTTAATACTTCTTTTAAAATTTTGTCTGTTCATTGTGAAATTAGCCTATAATTTTTCTATTTCTGTTGCCTTTGTTGATTTTATTTTTTATAAAATGAATAGGTAAGGTAGTCCCTGTTTTTCAAGGTCAGAGTTCACATAAGACTGGAGTTCTCTGATACTTGAGTGTGTGAAAGTTATCTGTCTGACTTGTCCTAGTGTTTCTTTGTGTGACAATTTTGTAGTACAGGTTTGTTTAATGGTTATGTGACTACTGAATTGTTCCATTTTTTTCCTGAGTCAACTTTGGCTAGCTGTGTTTCTAGGAAATTTAAAGCCAATTTTGTTAGTCTTTTTGACACGCCAACTTTTGATTTTTTTGTTTTTCTTTTCTTTGTTTTGAGTTGGAGTCTTACTCTGTTGCCTAGGCTGTAGGGCACACTCACGGCCACTGCAACCTTGACCTCCTGGGCTCAGGTGATTCTTCCGCCTCAGTCTTTCAAATAGCTGGAATTACAGGCGCATTCTACCATACACCCAGCTTATTTTTTTATTTCTTGTAGAGACGAAGTCTCACCAAGTTCATGTTTTTTCCCAACTTCTTAAATTGTGTAATTTTTTGTAAATTATTTTGTAGTCTTTCTTTTTATCTAAGTATTTATTACTGTAGATTTCCCTAAAAATACTAACTTAATTGCTTGCATTTCACAGAATCTTACAAGTGTTGCTATGTTACCTAGGCTGGTCTTGAACTGCTGGGCTTAAGTCGTCCTCCTGCCTCAACCTCCGAAAGTACTGGGATTACAGGCATGAGCCACTATGCCTGGCCTACATTTTTAGTTTTAATGATTTATTTTTCAGTTTCTAGAAGTTTTCATTTTTTAAATAGTCTGTTATTTTATATTTGTGGTTTTATTCTTTATTTCATGAAACGTTAAACCTGTTGAAACATCTGAATTGGTGAACAATAGTTCTGTTAATTATTCTTATAGTTTTCCTGTTTTATGTTTTTTATTGTGAACTTCTACTTATTAGGACTGTAGGAATTCTAAGAAACCCGAGGTAAGGTTCCTGCAGAAAATAGTCATGTTCAGGTCTGCCAGGTGCCTAGCTAGGAGTTTACCTATTCAGTGCACTTCTAAGTTAATTTATTGGCTGGAAGTTTCTTAGACCATCAGGCTAGTGTGCATTTGTACCCAGCCTACTTTGGGGACCAGCCTGTGATGACAGATTCTCAGGAGAGATGTTTTTTCCCTTTACCCTAAGCCAAATGTACTTGCCATCTGTCTTTGCAGGGCGGATTTGCAGTTGCTGTTAGTTGATTAGTTGGTTGGTTGGTTTTGGTTTACTAAAGGTATTTCCCTTCAGTGATCCTGGGTTTGTTTTGTCAGGGTATATCTGCTCTACCTCTAATTTATGTGAAATCAAAGGCTTATTTCCTGCCCCTCGTGTGATACCCTTAAATTCCAAGGGTGTAGTTATCGCACAAATAGATTCGACCTGACCCTTATCTTTAGTAACCACTTAATGCGACTACTTTATTTTTAACCCTTGAGGATTTCTCTCAAGAACCATGGGGTACTTTGTGAGGATTGGTTAAATAGGTATATTGCATGAAATTGAGTTTTGGTCTTCTGATAACCCCTCACTGGTGAGGATGTGCCCCATGGGTGGTTTTGTGTCCTTTATCCCCCCCCCCTTTAGCAGGATTTCTTTTGTTTTCTTTTGCATTTTGCTGTGCCTTAATATTGTGTGTTTAGAGGTTTTCTTTTGTTGTTGCTTGGTTTTTGGGGTTTTTTTGAGTTGGAGACTCACCCTGTCGCTTAGTCTAGAGGGCAGTGGTATGCTCCCAAACTACTGCAATCTCAACCTGCTGGGCTCAGGCGATCCTTCTGCCTCAGCCTTCCAAGTACATTACAGACATGTGCCACCATGCCCAGCTAATTTTTGTATTTATTGTAGAGATGGGGTCCAAGTTGCCCAGGCTGGTCTTGAACCGGTGGGATTATAGGTGTGAGCCACCACGCCTAGTCTTAGAAGTATTTTTTTAATGAGAGGGTTTTAAATACCTGGTCAACTGTGTTTCTAGAAAGGGGAATTCTTAGCATTTCTTCTTTATCCACACAATTTCTGTCTGTGTTATACTACAAAGTTGGCTTTTTATTTTTGGAGATGGTCTTGCTGTCACCAGGCTGGAATGCAATGGCGCAGTCATAGCTCATTGCGAACTCCTGGGCTCAGGCTATATCCTCCTGCCTTAGCCTCGTGAGTACCGGTGGGAACTGTAGACATGCAGCACCATGTCCGGGTGAAAGTTGACTGTGATCACACCATTTACTTATGCTTTAGTATTGTTTTGCATCAGGAGATCATCCTACTTTTCCAGAGTGCTCTGGCATAAAGAAGCCACCTCTTAACTGAAAGGAATTTTATACAGTATCCTTCGGCAAGAGTACTCGGTAGAGGGCAGGTGATTAATTTCTCAAGCCTTTTCTAGGGCAGCTGGTGGTTTACTGACTTTATAAGGATTAGGTGATAGTTAATCTCAGTGGGTCGCCAAGCACCTTAGAAAGGACAAAATAGAGCCAGACATGTTGGCTCATGCCTATAATCCCAGCACTTAGGGAGGCTTAGGTGGGAGGATTGCTTGAGGCCAGGAGTTCAAGAGCAGCCTGAGCAATGTAGCAAGATCCCATTTCTACAGAAAAAATTAGCTGGGTGTGGTAGCATGCACCTGTAGTCCCAGCTACTCAGGGGGCTGAAGTTAGGGGATCACTTGAGCCCAAGGGTTCTAGGCTGTAGTAGGCTATGGTCATGTCACTATGCTCTAGTTTGGGCAATAGAGTGAGACCCTGTCTCAAAAAAAAAAAGATTTTAATAAAGTTAATTCTTAAAGCAGAAATGCTTTTTATTTAAGTCAAAATCGCTAACTCTGGAGTCAAACAGACTTTAGTTCATATCTCATTTCTGCCACTTAATAACAGTGTGACCATAGGCAAGTTACATAACCTCTTAAGCCTCCCTTCATTTTGGACACAAGGCATATACTGATAGTGTCAACATGTATATGCATGTGAAGTATTGTGTGCAGTGCCTACATAAATGAATGAATGAATCCTTGAATACCTTCCAGCTGTATTGGAATCCCATAGAGCAGGGTCCCTAACCCCCAGGCCACAGACGGTTAGGAACCGTGCTGCACAGCAGGAGGTGAGTGGCAGGCAAGCGAGCAAAGCTTCATCTGTATTTACAGCCACTCCTCGGCACTTGCATGGCCACCTGAGCTCCGTCTCCTGCCAGATCAGCCCCAGCATTAGATTCTCATAGGAGTGAACCCTATTTTGAGCTGCACATTTGAGGAATTTAGGTTGCATGCTCCTTATAAGAGTCTAATGCCTAATGATGTGAGGTGGAGCTGAGGTGGTGATGCTAGCACTGGGAGTGGCTGCAAATACAGATTAACATTAGCAGTGAGGTTTGACTGTACAAAGACCATAATAAATAAATTGCTTGCAGGCTCATATCAACTCTGTCAGTGAGTGGCAAGTGAGTCGATGTATTTTAGTATAACTGCATCTGGTGGCAGGCATTAAATCAGAATCTAACACTTACTTTAGTCCACGCATGGCCTGACCATTATTTTATTAACCACTTCCATCTGCGCCTCTTTTTTTTTTTAATGGTGAGTTGTATATTTCATTATATATTACAATGTAATAATAATGGAAATAACTTGCACAATAAATGTTGTGTGCTTGAACCATCCCAAAATTATCCTCCTTACCCCCACCCCTACCCCCATCCATGGAAAAATTGTCTTCCATGAAACTTAGTCCCTGATGCCAAAAAGGTTGGGGACTGCTGCCATAAGCACATACACTTTTTCTCTAAATGGGTAAACAGTAAATATTTTAGGACTTCCCAGCCACAGCCTATCTCTGTCATATATTTTATTCTGTTTTGTTTTGATAACTATTTAAGAATGTGAAAATCCTTTTGAAAAGCATTTAATTTTTTAAGTTGACAGATAATTGTACATATATATGGGGTTACATAATGATTTTTCAGTACACGTAATGTACAGTGATCAGATAAGGGTAATAATCATATCTATCATAAAAATGTAAAAATCATTATTAATTCCCAGGCTGTGTGAAACAGCTGTGAGCTGGGCATGGTGACTCATGCTTGTAAGTCCAGCACTTTGGAAGGCTGAGGCGGGAGGATTGCTTGAGCCCAGGAGTTCAAGACCAACCTGGGCAACATAGTGAGAACCTGTCTCTATTTTTTCAAAAGCTAAAAAACAAACAGGCTGTGGACCCAATTTGGCCTCTAGGCTGCAGCTTGTCAACCCCAGCCGTAAAAGTGTTGCCTTGCAACACAGCACCATTAGAGTTTGTTGTTGTTGTTGTTGTTGTTGTTTTGTTGTTGTTGTTTTTGAGTTGGAGTGTCACTCTGTTGCCCAGACTGGAGTGCAGTGTCCGCTCCACTGCAGCCTCAACCTGCTGGGCTCGGGCGATTCTTCCGCCTCAGCCTTCCAAGTAGCTGGAACTACAGGCATGCGCTACCATGCCCGGCTAATTTTTTGATTTATTGTATAGATGAGGTCTCGCCAAGTTGCCCTGGCGGGTCTTGAACCCGTGGGCTTAGGCAATCCACTCACCTCAGCCTCCCAAACACGGGATTACAGGTTGAGCCACCAAGCCCGGCACCATTAGAGTTTTCAAAAGCATACTAAGTTTTTGCTTCTTGTACTTTTAGCCTTAATATGACAGTCTTTATTGCATATTAGAGGCTTCATATTTTAGTTAATGACGTTTATATTTTTTATAGCTATGGTTTGTTTGTTTTACTACGCATCAGCAGTCTTTATCCTAAAATGAGATTGTTGAGGCCACTGCTTGGGTCCTCGATCAGTTGTTTTCTTATGAAATCTGTTAGCTTCTATTTCAATATGAAACATTTTAGGAATTTTTGAAGCAGAAGTAACGATAACTTTCCTATTGCATTTATTGTTATTTCCATATTAAGGGCTTGACATTTACACCACTTAGGCCTGTTAATTCTGTTTTTTCCATAATGATATTTTCTTCATTTCTGTTCTGAATTATCTAAGCCAGTTTTGGAGTTAGCACAGTACTATTGGAGCTTCATAGTTTTCAACTAATTCAGGGTTCTAGTATAATACAGATCATACTCTCAGTAACCCTGGAGATGGGGTGGATCCACATCCCTTTATTGGGTATATTTAAGTCTTAGTTTTTAAAGTATGGTCAGAATTCTCAGAGTCCATATAGCATTCTTATTCTTGCTAGGAAATAAACTTGAAGATAAATTATCTGTTAGAAAACATTTCTTTTTGTCTTTCAGTTGAAGCTGAGAAGTCTGAAGTTGCGCCCTTTGGTGATTCTACTCACATTACTTTGCAAGAAGAAAACCAGTCTTCTGTCAGTCATTGCCTTCCTGACGTTTCTACAGTTACTGAAGAAGGCTTATTTAGCCGAAAGAGTTTCCTCATTTTGGGATTTAGTAATGAAAATGAATGTAATATTGCAAGCATCATAAAAGAAAATGCTGGAAAAATCACATCCCCTCCAAGCAGGACTGTTGCTGATTATGCTGTGGTTCCGCTGCTGGGGTGTAAAGTGGAAGCAACTGTGGGAGAAGTCGTTACAAATACGTGGCTGGTAAGACACCGTAGCAGCTGCAATTGGTATTGAAGGATATATGAATGCCTAGGGGGTTCGTATTTATTTTTAGGCAGTTCAACTTAAGTAAATTGGTGTTTGAATTTGAGCGCTGTCTTGATTTTGCTTTTAACAAGGGAGACTCTAAAAAGGAAGATGTACAAGCTTCTTGGTCCTCGTCCTGGTGGAGTAGAGGACACTGCTTCCCAGGGCCACAGAGCAACATTCCTTCTCAGATCACTCCAGGCCATCTCCTACTGTTTGTCTTTCCTATTTTCTCACAGCCAGAGCATGACTCGCACTTTTGTATTATCCCACCTTGGTAACTTTTCACTGGTAATTTCACTATTGGTTTCTTTTTAATTTTCCAAGAGTTACAAGAAGTAAATGATAAATTAATACATTGGAGGAAGTGAAACTTAAAGCAACATCTAGTAACTTCAGTGATAAATCTCACTGATTTTAATATCTTAATGTGATTAGTTTAAATGTAATTTGAAATGTATTGAGAACGACCATGCACAAGTTTGTATACAGCAAAATTTCTTTTCATCAAAACTAAAATTATTGCTTCTGTAAGTGTACCACTGTTAACCACTGGTTACTTATTTCAGGTCGGCTTTATTGTTTCTCTTTTTTTGAAAGGTTACTTGTATAGACTGTCAGACTTTAATTGATCCAAAGTCAAATCCTCTCTTCACACCAGTTCCAGTAATGACAGGAATGACTCCTTTAGCAGATTGTGTTATTTCATTCAGCCAGTGTGCTGGAGCAGAAAAAGATTCTTTGATATTCCTAGCAAATCGCCTTGGAGCAAGGTATGTAATATTTGTAGTGCATCTGCTGTCTTGATGTACCTTTTTATTTCTTTTGACTTCGTAGAGAACATTCCAGTTAGAATTTAGTTGCGTGTCTTTATTGTATTTATGGGTAGTGTATCAGTGATGGCTCAAGGTGGCAGAGGGAGGGTGCTAATAGATGGATACCTGAAAGCCTCTTAAGACTACAGGCATTAATGCTTGATTGGCTTAGCCACCAGGAAAGAGAATATTTAAGACTGATATTAGGCTATTATTGAATAGTGCTTGTCTAAGCATTGTACCCGTCTATGTGCTTTATGGATGAATTATTTTTTTCAGTGTGCATTCATTATTTCTCTGATTTTCAGTCAGAAATGTACATTGAGCGGCAGTAATGAATACTTTGGGAGAAAGAAAATGAACATAAAAGTTACTTTCAAAATCCATAGTGACTCAATCCCAAATTGAATATTAGATGGTGGCTGTTTTAAAAAGAAGTAGAAAATTATTATATCAGTAAATGTAAATGAACTGAACTTTTATATTAAAAAGAAATGCTTCTATTTTGTTTATTTGTTTTTTGTTTATTTATTTATTTTGAGTTCCGGTCTCACTCTCGTTACCCAGGCGGGAGTGCAGTGGCACAATCATGGCTCACCACAGCCTCAACCTCCAGGGTTCAGGCAATTCTTCTGCCTCAGCCTTCTGAGTAGCTGGGACTACAGGTGTGTGCCACCATGCTTGGCTAATTTTTTTATTTTCTGTAAAGAGTTCTCCCTATGTTGCCTAGGCTGGTCTGGAACTCCTGGGCTTAAGCAATCTTCTCACCTCGACCTCCCTAAGTTGGGATCATAGGCATGAACCACTGCACTCAGCTGGAAGATCCTTTTAGATTAGGTCATAAAGCAAAATATGACTGCATTTAAACAAAAGACTCATCTAAAACAGTGATTCGGAACATTTGGGAAAAATAAAAAAGATGGGCAAAGATGTGTTAAGTAAATGCAAACCAAAAGAAAAGGGCATTGCTGTTTTGCTATCACATAGTTTGAGTTCCAGATATGGGGAGAAAACGTACTAGTGATTCTGAAACTTCTTGTCAGACCAGATAAGCAGCAACATTATTCCCAAGACTACTAGGAGAGTCGTGTCAAAGTATCTCTGCTGGTTAAAGACAGGAAAATTTAAATATCGTTAAAGATAACTGCAGTAGATCCAGACACATCAAATGTTTAAATCATGACTTCATAATGTTACCAAACAAACCAAGGTAATTTGTCACCTTGAAAGATGGTAGGGAACCAAGCCATTATTTTGAAAGCTGGCAAAGGAAAGGATCAAATATTTACCTTGCATTTCCTTTACAATCTGCATCAAGGTAACAGGATAGTGGATAAGGTGAAGTTTCCCGTTACAAGGTATTCCCACAAGTCAGTGAAGGAGGAATGGCAGGATTGTAACCGCTAGTGAGAGAAGGAGTCTAGGTATTGAGCATCAGCAGTTACTCACACAACAAAGAGACTAGGCGTTGTGTGCTTCCTGACGAAGAATCCACCGCCACTTTGAAGTCATCTTGCCAAAAGAATCAGACCTCAGTCTTGTGGTTCTTCTCCCTCCAGCTACTGATTTATAGGAAATATGGACAGGAGAGTGACACAGTATACTATATCACAATAATATAATCAGCAAAATCCAGACTTTTGGTCCAACTCTATGGTATCAATGATCTGGTGTCTTCAACAAGCGTATATTAAGGGGTAGAGAAAGAAGGGAGAACCTATATGCTAAAAGACATTAAAAGCAAGAAACTAAATGTTTAATCTTTAAAGGAAGGTGAAGAAGTGTGATTATCTTAATTGTCCAAATAGTGGCCTCCTAATGGGAGGGGAGGAAAGGGGCTGTGTGGTACAATGGGAAAGTTCTGGGGTGACTGGCAAGATGCTGTCTTCTGATATGGGTGGTGGATATAAGGGTTTTCATCTTATGACAATTTATTTGGCTGTGTGTTTTCTTTTTTCTTTTCTTTTTAATTTTTGCTGTGTTCTGTATTTGAATTATATAAAACAATAAAAAGGTTTTTTTAAAAATGGAAATTGTGGGAAACAGCAATAACAAACGTGACAACAGACTCCATTGGATACAATAAAGAAGTACTCAGAAAAATTCAGTGAAGTGATTATGCAGAAAATTAATAGTTAAAATCAGTGACTTTTATTTATATAACCCAGTTAGAACAGCTCATAGAAGCAAGGGCAAGTTTAATATGAAACTTGGAAGAACTGCAAAAGACTTGTAAAATGCTGTTGAGAGAAACAAAATAAGACCCGAACTCTTCTCTTGGAAGAGAATATGGATAATGACGTTTACATTATTGCCTATGTTAATGTATAAATTTAACATAATCCAAATAAAAATATAGACAAAATTATTTTAGGAAGGGCACTAAGCAAGCTAATTCTAAAATTCATGTGAAAAGATTAGCAAGCAGGAAAGTTACGAAAATTCTGAAATAGAATGATTGAGACTAGCCCTAACATTTATTAACATATATTTTGTGAAACTTCACTAAAAAAGTGTGGTTACGAGTAGCTGATAAACAAGCAAGTTATCAATAGACTCAAATACAAATAGACATATGATGTGACATTTTAAATTATTAAGGAAGAGATAGCGTATTCAGTAAATAGGATTCAATAAGTTTGGAGCCACATCTCATACCAAAATAAATACCAATGGGTCAATGGATTAAATATAAAAAAATGAAACTTAAAAGTATTAGGAGGGGGGCATAGCTCATCACCAAGGGTTCCTGCATAATGAACCTTTGTATACTGAGCCCTGAATTGTACCCCACACATTTAAAATTGAAAGTTAAAAATCAATAAGTAAATCACAGATGTGAAAAAAGTATTAGGAAAGATGTGGGACATTTTTGGAAATCTTAAAAGTCAGGAACTAGAACGTAAAACCCAGAAGTCATAGAACATCAAATTCTGTATTTCTTCCTGTGTCTATAAAATATTTATATTTTGCAAATATTGCATGTGAACATGCTCCAGGAAGTTGTAGCAGGGGGAAAAAATGTAATGTGACATTTATACATTTTGCCCCTGTCATTGTTTCATGCTCCCCCTTTTGGGAGGAAAGGACAGGGTAGGTGGGTGATGACTAATTAAGCAGGTACTTTTTCTGTCTCTTCTTCGAAAGTCTAATTTACGTATGTTTCTATAAGTAAGTATTTGTGTGGGGATTAGCTTACATTTGGATAGAATAAACTAACTTTTAATCAGTATATATTTTCTTATACTGACATGAGCTCTAACCATACTGTTGTATTAGAAACTTTGGGCCAGGTGTGGTGGCTCATGCCTGTAGTCAGAGCACTTTGGGAGAATCGCTTAAGCCCAAGAGTTGGAAGTCAGCCTGTGCAGCATAGTGAGACTTCGTCTCTACTAAAAAATACAAAAGTTAGCTGGGTGTGGTGGCGCGTACCTATAGCCCCTCTTGAGCCTAAGAAGTTGCAGCTGCAGTGAGCCAAAGTTGTACCACTGCACTCCAGCCTGGGTGAGCCTGTTTCAAAAACAAATAACAAAACCCTTTGTTCTTAGTTTGCTGGATGATTGTATATATGACCATTTGCTTTTCTTTCCATTTCAATTTCAGTGTTCAGGAATATTTTGTTCGCAAGTCCAATGCAAAGAAGGGCATGCTTGCCAGTACACATCTTATATTGAAAGAGCCAGGTGGCTCTAAATATGAAGCTGCAAAGAAGTGGAATTTACCGGCAGTGACGATAGCGTGGCTGTTGGAGACTGCTAGGATGGGAAAGAGAGCAGATGAAAACCATTTTCTCATTGAAGATTTGCCTAAACAAGGTTAATATTTGTATTTTGTTCTTTTGTGTATATTTTTACAACTCGGTGGTTTCTGGGATAAATGGGTCCAAACTCGTGTTTAGGAAAAGCCATTGGTTTCTGTTGACCGTTGATTCCTTCTATGGCTCTCACTACACACCATGGCATTGGTTGCTCTCTCTCGTCTCTGGGCTTTCGCGTGTGTCCTCTAGATGCCCTTCCACTTGCCTGCTCTTCCCGCTTGTCTTCCAATACTCGGCTGAGACATCACTTTTCCTGGGAGCTTCCCTTGACTCACCAAGTGTGACCTTCGTCTTACCACAAAATTCTGTTTCACTATAACATCTTGTTATTACCCCTTTTGTAGCGCTTATCCCAGTATTATGATGTTGGTTTACTTTTGTATCTCCTTGCTAAACTATAAGCTCCCAAAAGGCAGGGAATGTGCATGTCTTATGAAGTCTGTTTCTTCAGTGTTTAACATTGGAGTAGCCATCTAATAAGTATTTTTGCTAAATGTTGAGAAAAGGTGGAAGGTAGGGATGGGAGAATACGATAGCCTCTCGTTATATGGTGACATCCCTGGGCAAACTTCAGGGACAAATTCATAGCTTAGAGACATCTCTCGGGGCCACTACTTATTTAATCAGGTAGACTGGAAATTTTATGACTGAGGCAAAATGTGATGTTTAGGTTGTATTAAAATTTCACAAAGGTTTTTCCAAACACTTGACTGCAGATAATTCTGAGTACATGTGATTGAGATTTTCTTTTTACTCTGCCATTGACTAGAATATTTATTGATATGGTCTTTGGTTGGCAAGTAGGTTTATTGAGACCATCTCAAGAGTGTGACAAGATAAAACAGAAAATCTATTTTTATTAATTATTTGTTTCAGTTCTTGTGCTTGTCTTCCTTAACATATTTTAATTCATCATCTGCTTTGTTTCTTGGAAAGCAGTTATATAACTGTGGTTTAAAGTATCCCTTAAAATATACATGAAAATTAACAGTAAAATATACTGATACTAATGCTGTATACTTCTTGTGTACAGAAAACAATGTGGACATTAGTGGCTCATATTTTTTTCTTTTCATTTTAAATCTCTAGAACAAAGTTTGGAAACTGAAATAACAAATGAGATGACTCTAAATACAAATGCCTCAGAGCACCCTGGCACACACCAGGGAATTCACAGAAAACCAGCTGTTACACCTTTAGATATGAAGCGCTTTCAGAGTAAGGCTTTCCATGCTGTGATCTCACAGCATGCCAGGCAGACTTCAGCCTCGCCAGCGGTAGGACAACCACTTCAGAAGGAACCCTCATTACACCTGGATACACCATCAAAATTTCTGTCCAAGGACAAACTCTTCAAGCCTTCCTTTGATGTGAAGGTAAGGTTTCTAGGAAGTCGTCCCAGATTTAACATAGTTTATAAAGTTAAAGTACCGAATTCTTCATCACCTCTAAAGTAGAGTAGTAAGGCTGGGCATGGTGGTTCATGCCTATTAATCCCAGAACTTTGGGAGGCTGAGGCAGGAGGATTCCTTGAGCCCAGGTGTTCAGGACCAGCCAAGGCACCACAGTGAGACCTTGTCTCTATGAAAAAAAAAAAATCACAGTTAGATGGGTGTGGGGGCACGCACCTATAGTCCCAGCTACACAGGGACTGAGGCAAAGGAATCCCTGAGCCCAAGAGATCCAGGCTGTGGTGGGTTGTGATCATGCCACTGCACTCTAGCCTAGGGAACAGAGTGAGACCCTGACCCTCCCCTCAAAAAAAAAAAAAAAAAAAAAATCCAAAAGCAAGCAAAAAATAAGTAAGGTGGAAGAGTAAATTTTCCAGAGATGATTTATACTATTGAGCTCCAGTATGTGTGGAGTCCCAGTGTCTACCCAGAGTTGGGGGTAGCATCTGTGTATATGTATGGTGGGAAATCAGGACACCTGGCTTCAGATTTCTGTCTTGATCTATGTCGATCTATTTTTTTGGGTCACCCTGTCACCCAGACTGGAGTGTAGTGGTGCAGTGGCACAATCACAGGTCACTGTAGCCTTGACCTCCTGGGCTCCAATGATCCTTCCACCTCACCTTCCCAAGTAGCTGGGACAAAGAACACACCATATCTGCCTGATTTTTTTGATATTTGCAGAGTTCTCACTATGTTGCTAAGCTGGTTTCAAACTCCTGGGCTCAAACATCCTCCCACCTCGACCTCCCAAAGTGCTGAGCTTACAGGCACTGTAAAATACTGTTAACACGTTGCTGCTTATATATTGATTTTAGGAGTACACCCAAGGTTTGCTTTCTGAAAATGTATATATTATCACCTTACTTTCCAATCATTTCCCTTAGAAAGATAAGTCTGTTTCTTTGTTTGATCTTCTGAGCAGTGGAGTATGGCTCCCTTTCTGAAAAATGTATTTGCAAGTCAAGGACTAATGTAACCTTCCAGTTGGTTTCCTTTTATTGCCCAAAGAATCAAAATTCCTTTAGAAATTTATCAAGTGGCTATTTAAGTGTCTTCTCAAGTGGCTATTCAAACCATTGTCTGTGATTTCACCATCTATGAACCTTTGCAAAATTATTGTACCCATTCACCTACTGATGTTTTTGTTCATAGGGTATTAAGAAGCAACATTTTGATAGTCTTTACCAGTAAGTTTTGGAGCAGACATTATAGATTTTACAGATTGTTCATCCTCAGAAAATAAATATTAATTGCTATCTGGGACAGTTTTCTCCAAGTTGGCTCATGTCTATTTTTGGTCAGAATTTGAGTGACTCACATGAAAAAAAAATGTGTCTTTAATATAACAAACTTAAAATCCTGAGTTTTCACATGAAATCTCTTCTGAGGCAACATTTTGGATTGTGGTGAACATTGCTCCTTATGCCTTAAGAAGTAGAGGAAAGTCACTGTCGTAGGAACTGTGAGATCCAGAACCAGCCTGCTTTTTTGCCTCTTGCTGCCCTTTACAAGCAAGTCAACCTCTTTGGGCTCATTTTACCCCCATCTATAAAACCATGCCATAAGTCCAGATTATCCTGAATGTCTCAGAGTGCATAGACTCTTGGAATAGTAAATGAAATAATATTAGTAGACAAGAAAATAGTGAAAATGTTTTCAGTCATTTACAACATTCTTTTTTAGAGACTGCAATAAAAGTTTTTGTAGTGGAAAACTGGTAGTTCTGAAATTGTCAGTATAAAAGCTACATATAAAGATTATTTAGAGTCATAGTTTATTTAGCAGTAGTTTTTCTTTTTCTTTTTTCTTTATCGGTGATCCATAAATAATGCTTCCTCCTAATGTAGTATGGCACATTAATTTCTTTACTCATAACATAGGACATGGAATAATCACATAATTGACCATCAGGCCTCACTCCCCCAAAAAAGTTAACTCTTATGTAAGCATAATTTTTAAATGACACACATCAGAAAAGTACAGTAAGTGAACTGCTCACTGAAATACTAGTGTTAACAGTTGGGAAGCCACTATACATATTCATATGAGACCATTGCCAATACTGTAGACCTTCCTCTTAGCTCCAGCCCTGCTTCCTTCTGCCTCCCTAAAGGTACACTTCTGACTTTTTTCTTTTTTGGAGTCTCACTCTGTCGCTCAGACTGGAGTGCAGTGGCCGCTCCCGACCACTGCAGCCGCAACCTGCTGGGCTCCGGCAATCCTTCCGCCTCAGCCTTCCAAGTAGCTGGAACTACAGGCGCGTGCTACCACGCCTGGCTAATTTTTGACTTATTGTAGAGATGAGGTCTTGCCAAGTTGCCCAGGCGGGTCTCGAACCTGCAGGCTCAGGCAGTCTACTCACCGCAGCCTCCCAAGGTGCAGGATTACAGGCTGAGCCAACAAGCCTGGCTCACTTCTGACTTCTAACACTAGTTTTGTTATGCTTGTTTTTGACTTTTAAACAGGTGGAATCATGGCATGTATTCTTTTGAGTCTTTGTGTGTGTGTGTGTGTGTGTGTGTGTGTGTGTGTGGGTTGTTGATATTTAACATTCATGTAGGCGTTTGTCCATATAGCTGTGTGTAACTGTAGTTTATTATTTATTCATTGTATGAATATACACAGTTTACATTTCCAGTCCTGTTGGTGGGCATTTACTTGGTTACTAGTTTTTTGCTCTTACAAAATAATGTTGCCATGAACATCCTTGTGTATGTTTCTTAGACTCTGTGTTCATGTGTTACTGTTTATTTCCATTTTAGTAAAGAATGACAAACTGTTTGCCAAAGTGGTTGTATCAGTTTATACTTCCACCAATAGTGTGTTAAGTACCCTGTGTTCTTTATCCTTGCCAGTACTTGGTATTATAAATTGTACTTCAAAATAATTTCTGGTTAACAAAAGTTGCAAAATAAAGTTAGTACAAAGAATGTCCTTATACCCTTTACTCAGATATGTAGTATTTTCATTATTATTTTTTAGAGCTCTTATATTTTTTTGTTGTGTTTCCCCGTTAACCCCAATTTTTCTTAATAAAGTTTTTTTTTCCCTTTTCTACCTTTTTTTCTTTTTTCTTTTTTAAAGCAGTAGGCATCTTGCTATATTGTTCAGGCTGGTTTCAAACTCCTGGACTCAAGCGATCCTCCTAACATGGCTTCCCAAAATGCTGGGATTAATTATAGGTATGATCCACTGGGCCCAGCCTGATTAGTATAGTACAAGTTTCTTATGTTTGGTGTGTTTCTGTTTCTCTTGGCATAAGTAATTACTTATTAATTGATGCATAGATAATCATAACATGTTATATTAGTTGGAATGTGGCTCTTAACATTATAGTTGTTCCTTGTCTCACTTAATGCTTTTTGGCCTGAAGTCAGCTTTGGTATTAGGATTTCAATCCCTGTTTTCTTATTTTCATTTCTTCATAAATCTCTGCATTCCTTCCTTTTTAGCTGGTGTGGACTGTGAGAGGCATTGGAGACTTGGAGAATCAGCAGTGCTTTTGAGGGGTGTTGCTGTACACGGGAGGCAGGACGCAGAGTTGAAGCTATAGGGCAAAGTTGGGTCAAAAGAAGGTGGTTTTGTCTTTAAGATGGAAGAACTGACCGTATGCCAGTGTATCTGATCCAGTAGCGATCCAGCAGAGGATGCAGAGGAGAGAAGGGAAAACTGCTGGGGCCACAGCCTGGAGTTGGTGACGGGGGCTGGGATCTAGTGCTTCAGTGTAAGTGCCAGGAGGGAGACCGTGCTCATGGCTCGGGTGCTAAAGGCAGATGGATTTGGTATGGGAGCGTCTGGTTTTTGTGTATGAGGAACCCTCTAAAATGCTTTGAAGACATTTTTAAAAGCAAAACTGGCATCAAGAAAGACTGTGTTCTTAAAAACACATGAAACATTGCAAAGCTCTATTAAAGTAGTAGAGCTTCTAGTAAAAATGCAAGCAGAAATAGTATTTGAACATCTGGAAAGAATAATTGAGAGTAGGCACTAGCCTACCAGTTATTAACCCTCCTATAAAGTTGCAGTAATTTAAGTGTGTGCTGAATCATTGTGCAAGATTACATTCCTCATAGGGATTTATTGTATGGTAAAAGTGGCCCCCAAAACAGACAGCTGGTAGCCATCTGAGACTCCATTTGGAGTCGAAGGCAATACCTCGACCAGATATAATGGCTCATGCCTGTAATTCCAGTACCTTGGGAGGTTGAGGGGGGAGGATCCCTTGAGCCCAGGAGTTTGTGAGTAGCGTGGGTAATATAGCAATACTGTGTTTCTACCAAAATAATTTTTTTAATTAGCTGGGCATGGTGGCATGTGCCAGTAGTCCCAGCTACTCAGGAGGCTGAGGAGGGAGAACTGCTTGAGGCCAGGCATTTTGGTTTTTAAGTAACCTCACTGTACCTAAAGGAAATAAAAGATTCATAAGAATTTGACGGCATTTAAGAAATTCTCCATGATGGCCAGGTAGTTTATACCAGTAATCTCAATACTCTGGGCGGCTGAAGTGGGAGTAGTGCTTAAGACCAGGAGTTTAAGATCAGCCTCAGTAACATAGCAAGATCCTGCCTTTACAAAAATAAGTAAACTAAATATAAAAATAAAAATTCTTCATTGTAAAAATTGGACAAATACGACTAATGACAAATTGGGAACAAATATGTGGATATTATATTAGAGTGGATTATGTACATTTAAATTCATACAAATGATATAAAAATATATTCATACAAATAAATATTTTAAAAATTCTAACAACCCAATGGAAAAATAGGCAAAGGATAGGAACAAATAACCAAAAAAAATCAAATACAAATATGACGTATGCATTAAAATGCTTAATCTCATTTTGTGTAAGATTCTTTAGCCTATAGATTGGCAAAAAGTAATCTGCTGTGGCGTTAGGCATATTAGTAGACACTCATACTATGCTCAATGAAAACATTAACATTGCTAGATACATTTTGCTGAAAAGGTTCTCTTTACTCTTGTATGTGCAAAATGGTGTGTGTACAAGGTTATTACTGTATCGTTATACTAACACAAGATTGGTAACCTAACATTCATCAGCTGAGTGCATGTTAAACACATTCTGACACATACATACATACATATGGAATACTACATGCATTCTGATACAAACATGGAATACTACATACATTCTGATACAAACATGGAATACTACATACATTCTGATACATACATGGAATACTACATACATTCTGATACATGCATGGAATACTACATACATTCTGATACATGCATGGAATACTGCACAGCTGTAAAAGAGAATGAGCAAGCCACTTGGACAACAGTCAGCTTCCTTTCAGGAGGGAACTGTAGATGACTTGAGAATTGTGCTTTTGAAGATTTTTTTCACAATTTTTCATTCATTCTGACTTCCTTATAACTCATGTCTTGTTTATATCCATCTTTGCTTACTTTCTCTGTTTTTTATGCAATTTCAAATCTAAGACAGCCAGTCATGGTGGCTCATGCCTGTAATCCCAGCACTTTGGGATGCCGAGGTGGGAGGATTGCTTGAGCCTGGGAGTTTGAGACCAGCTTGGGCAACGTAGACCACCATGTTTCTACAAAAATAAAAATATTTGCTAGGCATGGTGGCATGCACCTGTAGTTCCAGCTACTCAGGAGGCTGAGGAGATAGAATTGCCAGAGATCAGAAGTTTGAGGCCATGGTGAGCTGTGATTGTGTCACTGCCCTCCAGTCTATCCAGTCTACGTGATGGTAAAATCTGAACTCTAAAAAAACAAACAAGCAAAAAACCAAACACACACACACATACACTAGATTCAGTTAAATGTGACAAGCACTGCTGAAAATGCAAGCTTGTTAGTTTCTTTGAACCAATTTACTGGACAGAGTATGGAATTCTTTTCCTTTACAGTGTATAGAAACAGATTATGGTATTCTTATATCTTCTGGAGGAAAGCCAGAGACACTTAAACTGATCCATTCATTTTGTTGGTTATCTCCTTTCTCTCTCTTTACTCCTCCCTTCTCCTCCTCTTTTTTCCCTTCCCTGTATTCCCTCTTGCCTTCTCTCCTCCCATTTCTTCCTCTTTTCTCCTCTTCCCCTCTCCTTCATATGTACAGGATGCACTTGCTGCCTTGGAGACACCAGGAAGTTCCAGTCAACAGAAAAGGAAACTGAGCACACCACTTTCGGAAGTTATTGTCAGAAACTTGAAACTTGCTCTAGCAAATAGCTCTCGAAATGCTGTTGCTCTTTCTGCCAGCCCTCAGCTGAAGGATGCCCAGTCAAAGAAGGTAGAATGAGTTATCTTATTAAAAGGAAGCTTTAGATAAAACATTTCAAACATTAATGACTGATCTGTTTATTTTATTTTCCATGGACAGGAAGAAACTCCAAAGCCACTTCACAAGGTGGTGGTCTATGTGAGTAAAAAACTCAGTAAGAAGCAGAGTGAACTGAATGGGATTGCAGCCTCTCTAGGGGCCGATTACAGGTAGTCAGCACATCTTTCTGTTTGGTGGCTATATGGCCTAAATTTATAAGGAAACCCAAGGCTATTGAGAACACATTTATTTGTTCTTTATTGCTGTGTTATATTAGCTACAAAATCTCTCCAGTTGATTTTTAATTTTTTATGTCCTTTGAAAATACCCTCTCATGGGCCACCCCCTCGGGTCCCCTCCCACTGTGGGAGCTTTTCTGTTCTCTCAATAAATCTTGCTTTAAAAAAAATGAAAATATCCTCTCACATATCAGTTCTCTCTTACATGTGCATTTTTTAGGGTATAGTCAACAAATATTTATAACTTATTTTATGCCACTTACTATTCTAGAAACTTGGGATCTATGAATAATCAGTAGAGTCTAAAAGAATTCCTGTCTTCAAGGAGTTTATAGTGTAGTATTACATCTGGATCTGAGATTAAGTTTATTTTTGCTCAGTGGTTTTTCATATTAAAACCCTTCTGTGACTAGTGCTAAGTATTCTAGCAACCCCCCTGTATTAAGATGGCCCTTTTTTTTTTTTTTGAGTCGGAGTCTCACTCTGTTACCTAGGTGGGAGTACAGTGGCATGTTCACAGCTACCGCAGCCTCGACCTGCTGCTAGGCTTAAGTGATCCTTCCACCTCAGCCTTCCAAGTAACTGGAACCACAGGTGCACGCCACCACACCCGGATAATTTTTTGATTTATTAGAGTAGTCAGTTCTCTAGTATTGTTTCAGATGTTCTTTTCCATGATCTAGACCCAGACCATCCAGAACTGATCATCTGTTCCTGTCTCCCGCCTCCAGACAGTTAAACATCTAGGCTAGATCTTCTCAATACATCAGATACAGCAGCCCTATTTCATTATTATTGAATGAAATAAATTGCCCAGGTGATCTCAAACCACAGGACTCAGGCAATCCTATTCCCTTGCCCCCCCAAAGTGCTGGATTACAGGCGTGAGCCACCGCCATGCCCGGCTGAGCATATTTTAATTTGTATCATTTTTAAGATGTTGGAGGCTTAGATTATCAGATCTTCCCTCACTAAACCTAACAGTCTCTGCTAGAGACAGGCCTTTAGCACAGAAGGCATCAGCATCAGGGACTACTTCCTTGTTCTAGGCAGTCATGAGTGGACTGTACTCCTCCATTATCTGAAGCGCTAACTTGTTGATCACTCGTGTTCAGCTGTTCATAGATAACATAATGGTTGGTTTTACAAAGGATAAACAGTTTGAGGAAAATAATTCATTCATCTTCCCCTCTGATCTTATTTCAGTTGATTTTCTATTTGATAAAGAATTAGAGCAGGAAAATATAAAAAATTTATAGTATCTATAAGCATCTTAGTGTTTGATGCATTCGTTGTGGAATAGTGAAGCTTTCTTACTTATTTCAACCTTATTACCTTTATATACATATTATTGTATAATTGTATCTATTACCATATAGTTACCTATTATATTTATATTACCTTTTGCCAGTTGCTACACATTATCTCATTTCATCTATGTCTATAAGATTTACAATGCCAGTCTTCTTTAATATAAAAAACAGAATTTTAGCTTGGCATAGTGGCTTGTGCATGTAATTCCAGCACTTTGTGAGGCCAAGGAAGGAGAATTGCTTGAGTCCAGGAGTTAGAGACCATCCTGGGCACCATAGCAAGACTTCATCTCTACAAAAATTAGCTGGGTGTGGTGGTGCACATACCTGTAGTCTCAGCTACTTGGAAGGCTGAGGAGGTGGGATTTCTTAAGCCTAGGAGTTTAAGACTTCAGTGAGCCATGATTGTGCCCTCCAGTCTGGGTAACACAGTGAGACCCTGACTCAAAAAAAAAAATTTTTTTTTTTTTTTGCTGAAATTCCTAAAAAAAATTTAACTGTAAAATTGCATTTAAGTATGTTAAATCTCTTTCTGAAATGGATTTCTCAAACTTGGTAATTGATGAAAGAGAAGAGCCTTTAATTTGTTTGTGTTTTTGTTTTTTTGTTGTTGTTTTTGAGTCAGAGTCTCATTCTGTCACCCAGGCTGGAATGCAGTGGCACACTCATGGTCACTGCAGTCTCAACCTGCTGGGCTCAGGGGATCCTTCCGTTTCAGCCTTCCAAGTAGCTAGAACCACAGGCGTACCACCACACCTGGCTATTGTTTTATTTATTGTAGAGAGGAGGTTTCACCATGTTTCCCAAACTGGTCTTAAACCCCTGGGCTTAGGTAGTCCTCTCGCCTCTGCCCCTCAAAGTGCTGAGATTACAGCTGTGAGTCACTGTGCCCAGCCAAAAGAGCCTTTTAGTATGCAGAGGTTATGATATTTATGTGTTCATAGGGTAGTCAGTTCTCTAGTATTGTTTCAGTTGTTCTTTTCCATGATCTAGGCCCAGACCATCCAGAACTGATCATCTGTTCCTATCTCCTGCCTCCAGACAGTTAAACATCTAGGCTAGGTCTTCTCAATGCATCAGATGCAGCAGCCCTATTTCATTATTAATATTTGTATAATAGCTCCTCTACTAAAATAAAATTTACAAATATAACCTACCTACTTTAGTTTAAAAAGTTAGGCTGGGCATGGTGGCTCAAGTCTGTAATCCCAGCACTTTGGGAGGCCAAGGCAAGAGGATTGCCTGAGCCCAGGGGTTCGAGACCAGCCTGAGCAACTTGGCGAGACCTCATCTACAATACATCAAAAAATTAGCTGGGTGTGGTAGCACGGACTTGTAGTTCCAGCTACTTGTAAGACTGAGGCAGAAGGATTGCCTGAGCCCAGCAGGTCGAGGCTGCAGTGACCGTGAGCATGCCACTGCACTCCAGCCTGGGCAACAGAGTGAGACTCCAACTCAATAAAAAATAAAAATAAAGTCAATATAATGCTCTGTGGTGCATAGAAGAAATAGCAGGTGCATAAGAACAAAAAAATCTGTTTGGTGTGTAAATATTTGAGGTTGACAACACTAGGGGCAGTGAAATGTTAATATGTTTGTGTATCTATGTAAAATCACCTCAAATGCAACAATCCCAAGTCTGAGACAGACAGACTTGGAGGCTCAAATACCATGAATAGCATTTCTGTTGGTAATGACTTTACCAACTATTTATGATTTTGAAAAGTTCAAAATTAAGCAAAATCTAGTCTTCCATCTATGTATATAGTAGTCACAGTTTTGGAATATTAGCATTATTTTAAAACTGCAAAAAATATTGTTTATATGTAAAATATTTTTTAAAAAGAAAACGAATTTTGCGTGTGTGATAGTGCCTTGCTTTGTTGCCCAGGCTTGAGTGCAGTGGCTGTTCATGGGCATGATCATTGCATGCTATCTCAAACTCCTGGCCTCAAGCAATCCTCCCTCCTCAGCTTCCCAAGTACCTGGTACTCCGGTTGCGTGCCATTGTGCTCAGCTTGAGGCTGTCATTTTAAAAGCCTTGCTTATTCTAGTTCTGAAAGTTTTGTAAATGTCAGAGTGTTCTGTTCATGGTGAATAATGATCATCTTAAACTAATATAGCTTTTCTTAGGTCTTCGTTTTTTTTGTATTTGGTTGTTTCAGGTGGAGTTTTGATGAAACAGTGACTCATTTCATCTATCAGGGTCGACCAAATGACACTAATCGAGAGTACAAATCTGTAAAAGAAAGAGGATTGCACATTGTTTCAGAACATTGGCTTTTAGATGTAAGTGATGCTTTTTTCCCTCCCTTCTCTGTTAATTGCAAACATATACAAACATTTCAGAGCACAAACTAAGGGTTTCAGTGTTTAGAAGCAAGTTTGATAATGTTGATTGACTCTGAACATTTCATTTTTGGGGCTTCAAAAACGTAAGATCTTTAGTCCTTAAATACTCAACAAATCTCTGCCGGGTACAATGGCTTACGCCTGTAATTCCAGCACTTAGGGAGGCCGAGGTGAGAGGATTGCCTAAGCCCAGATGTTCAAGACCAGCCTGGGCAACTTGGCAAGACCTTGTCTCTACAATAAATCAAAAAAATTAGCCAGGCCTGGTGGCACGCACCTGTAATTCCAGCTACTTAGAAGACTGAGGCAGAAGGATTGCCTGAGCCCAGCAGGTCGAGGCTGCAGTAGCCGTGAGCATGCCACTGCATTCCAGCCTAAGTGACAGAGTGAGACTCTGGCTCAAAAAAAAAAAATACTTAACAAGTGTTTAATAATACTCTTTCTGATTCTCTGATTCCTTTCACTAATTAAAAATGATGTGAATGGAAATTTTATAATAATTTCAGGAAAATTAACTTTCTTTTGTTTTTCCTGAATATTTCTTAGAGTGTAATTGATATCTTGACAAAAGCACAGAAATAGATTTTATATTTTAGTGGTTATGACGTTTAAAAAGTAAGGACAGTTTGTCATTTGTGTAATGGGAATTTTTCAGTGTAGACTACTTTTTAAAACTTTAATTTTGTGAATGTTTACCATCTTATAGTATAGTATTGGTTGTCCTTATTCTACGTAACATCTTCTAGTCATTAAGAATTTTTTCAAGCCAAGCATAGTGGTTCATGCCTATAATCCCAGCACTCTGGGAGGCCGAGACAGGAGGATCACCTGAGTCCAGGAGTTTGAGACCAGCCTGGGCAATACAGGGAGAGCTTCTCTTTATTTTTTTGTTTTTAAGAGGGATTTTTTTCAGTCCTGTTTTAAAGCATACCATTGTATTGCAGTGTGCTCAAGAGTATAAGCATCTTCCTGAATCTCTTTATCCACATACTTATAATCCCAAAATGAGCTTGGATATCAGTGCAGTGCAAGATGGTAGACCCTGTAACAGCCGACAACTCTCAGTTGTCTCTACAACAAAGGATGCTGAGGTAGGTAATAAGGATGATCTCTTCATCCCCTCCTCAGCTGAATGTATTTTGCTGCGAATTATATATGACTGTGAAACTTGATATGTTGGCTTGGTTTGAAAATTTGTACTTTTTCTCCTTCAAAAGGCAGATCAGTTGCCTTTAGAAGAAAATGATGTAAACAATATGACCACCAGTAATAAAGAATCAGCATCATCAAATGGAAATGGAAGGAGTGACTTTAAAGGAGGTAAAATATTTTAAATTACAGGTTTTTTTGTTTTTGTTTTTTGCGAGTATATACCTTTCATACTGAATGCTTCCTTTATGTCAGATAGAAAAATAAATTTTTTTCTGTGTTGCTAAATAGAAGCAAAGCATATATTTGAGGATTGACTTGAGGTTCCACGCCCATCATTAAGTGATAATTTGCAAAACTTTAAGTGACTTAAGTGTGAAACTTGTATAATTTATAGAACTGAAATTTATAGACTCAGTGTTATTTTAAAAAATTTTGTTCTTTAGTCCATTTCTCTTTAGCAATCTTCAAAAAGTTTTATCTATTTATTTATGGTTTTGGAGACTGGGTCTCACTATGGTGTCTAGGCTGGTCTCGAACTCCAGGGCTCAAGCATTCCTCTCACCTCAGCCTCTCCCAAAGGGCTGGGATTCTTGGCATGAGCCCCCAGATTTATTACATGTAGATTATATTTTAATATAATCATATGGTTTTAAAAGTGCAGAAGGGCAGAGTAATAGTTTCTCCCACCCTTGTTCTTCAGGGCTTTTGAATTATTTCATATATAGTGCTCATGGTAAGGACTGCCTTTTATGTTCTGTATTATTCATGGCCTTAGTACAGTACTATAGTCTGTAGTAAGTATTCACTAAATGTCAAGTCAATAAATTTGTGTTTAGCCAGATTTGGACAGAATCGTTAATATGAGTGATATATGAGAAAAACGAAAAACTCAATTTGTTTGGTGTGTTTGTGTTTGTTTCAAGCTCTGACTCAAACCCTGGAGATGAGAGAAAACTTTCAGAAGCAGTTAAAGGAGATAATGTCTGCGACATCAATAGTAAAACCCCAAGCGCAGAGGAATTCCCTTTCCAGAAGTGGCTGTAACAGTGCGTCTTCTACTCCTGACAGCACGCGCTCTGCTCGCAGCGGGCGAAGTCGCGTCCTAGAGGCACTGAGGTGCGTAGCTGTCACTAATGGCAGGAAGACCGGATGGCCTGAGAGAAAGCTAGCTCCTTATCTAGACACCTGCTGCCCACTCAGTTCCATGAGTTAGGCCTAACGTTGCTGTTTATTTGTTTTTTTTGTATTGGAGGGTGGGTTGGAATCTCACTCTGTCACCCAGGCTGGAGTACAGTGGCATGCTCACAACCACCGCATCCTCGACCTGCTGGGCTCAGGTGATCCTTCTGCCTTAGCCTTCCAAGTAGCTGGAACCATAGGTGTGCACCACCACACCCAGCTAATTTTTTGATTTTTTGTAGAGACGAGGTCTCACCAAGTTGCCCAGGCTGATTTCAAACCCCTGGGTTCAGGCAATCCTTTTGCCTCCACCTCCCAAAAGGCTAGGACTACAGGCATGAGCCACCACGCCTGGCCTTTTTTTTAAAGATGCAGTAAAGCAGAAACATAGAATTTCGAGACCAGTGAATGGATTATACTACTGGGCTCCAAGGAATAAATAATATTTTTGATATTGTCTTGGCTTTGGCCATCTGCTGACTAGACCTCTCTTTCTGGCCTTTTTTCCTTCCTTCCCTTGTCCCCAGCAGTTCTAAAATTCTTACTCAAGCTGGGCTCGGTGGCTCAGCCTGTAATCCCACGCCTTTGGGAGGCTGAGGTGAGTGGATTGTCTGAGCCCACGGGTTCGAGACCCACCTGGGCGGCGAGACCTCATGTCTACAATAAATCAAAAAATCAGCTGGGCGTGGTAGCGCATGCCTGTAATTCCAGCTACTTGGAAGCCTGAGGCGGAAGGATCGCCGGAGCCCAGCAGGCGAGGCTGCGGTGGCCGGGAGCGGCCACTGCACTCCAGTCTGGGCGACAGAGTGAGACTCCAACTCAAAAAAAAAAAAAAAAAAAAAAAAAAATTTCTTACTCAGAGGCAGGCCACAGACATGGAGGTTTGTCTTATTACCAAGCACCTGCAACAGAGTGAGGCATAATTCATACTTTCTATTATTTCCTCTGAAAAAGAAATGATTTTAAGATCCAGTTTGCCTAGTTTGAAATGGATTCCTTGGGCAGTTTTCTCTGTTCTTTAATATTAGTATTAAATAAACTGTATATGTGTATGTGTGTGTGTGTGTGAAAGTTTTAAGTGTTTTTAATTGGAAATTTGGATGCATTTTGTATTCTGTTTTAAAAATTTATCTTCCGTGAAAGGTGATTGTAGTTTTTAGTGTGAAATGTCTTAAAGTTCTGTAGCATAACTTCATCTTTTCCCTAGAAGAAGAAAAATCTTTGTGTGATGAACATTGTGGAACTTACAGCTTTATCTGATTCATTGAACTGTACATTTATCATAATTCAGTATATGACTGGTCTACCTTAGACTCTAGGAGAAGTTTGGTTATCAAGAACCAAAAGGCCCTTTTTTGTTCTCTTTAAAATTTTTTTTTATTTCAATAACTTTAGTGGTACAAATGGCCTTGGGTTACATGGCTGCTTTGTATAATAGTGAAGAAGTCTGGGTTTTAAGTGTACCCATCGCTGCCACTAGTGGACATTGTACCTGATAGATGATTTTTCATTTCTTCCCACCCCTTCCCATACTCCTCCTCCTGAGCTTCCATTGTTCATTAATACCATTCTATATACCTTTGCAGACCCCCAAGAGACCTTTGTTATAAGGCAGTCATTGTAGTAAGCCTATATGGTAACAGTGCTTGCAATTTCAGGTAATAAAAAAAGGCAACTGCTATTAAAGCAAAGTAACCACAGTTTTCTAAACATTACCATGTGTCCCTCATCTATATAATTAAGAGAAATCCCATTTTTAAATGTAGCAATAATTTTGGAATTTTAAAAAAATTTATTGACGGTGTTGCACTTTCCTCCTTTAATTTTTAAATTTATAGATAATTAGTTAAAATAATGTGTTTAATATTCTAGATCAAACAGACAGTTGTGCGAGAAACTTTTTAAAGAGAAAAAACTTTCCCAGGTTCATTTATTCAATATTTTTAGGTGCCTGGTGTGTACTAGATAGTGGACATATAAAGGAGAGCTGTTGTGGTCTAGCTTGGATTTGTGAGTTTGGGTTTTGTTATAACTGTTTATTTAAAATGTTCACTTTTATTTCTCAGACAGTCTCGTCAAACAGTACCTGATGTCAACACAGAGCCCTCCCAAAATGAACAGATCATTTGGGATGATCCTACAGCAAGGGAGGAGAGAGCAAGGCTTGCCAACAATTTGCAGTGGCCTACGTGTCCCACACAATACTCTGAGGTTCCAGCTGACATTAAAGACTTGGAGGATTCTCCTTTTCAAGCACCTTTGTGTGATTCAGAAACTGCTAAACAGGGTAACAAGAAAGAAATCTGTTCACTTGTTGTGTTAATAAGTACATGTTGATATCCTAAACATAGATAAGCATGTTGTAGTTCTCTGAATTGTACTTGCAAACAAAAATCTTGCTAAGTTTTTCTGATTTTGGTTTAAACTTAAGAGTCAGAAAAACTTGTAAATTGAGGTATTTATCAGTAAATCGAAACATTTAAATTTGGAAATTTGAATTAGACATTTTTCCAAACGTGGTTTTCATCATTCTTTCATTTTAGTCCTTTTTGTACTTGTGCAGTTAGTGCTTGGATATTCTCCCTGTCATCTTATTTTCATTTCAGTCTTCTGAATTCTGCCCAGCCACTCATACACATTTTTTCTTTGGATTGTATGAGTTTCTTTCTGAATTTCCTTATTTTTTTTTTCCTTGAGCTGTACCTAGAAAGCAAAATGCTTCCTATCTTACTTCCTTTTTTTCCCCTTTCTCTTTTCTCATTGCATGATTAGAGTTTATCTCTGCTTCTGCTTTTTTCCATGTTTAGAATTGCTGTCATTTTACAAATTTGGGTAACACTTTACTGATGAAAGTTTGATATTTAAAAAAAGGGTTGGGGCCTGTAATCCCAGCACTTTGGGAGGCCAAGGTGAGAGGATTGCCTGAGTCCAGAGGTTCAAGACCAGCCTGGGCAACTTGGTGAGACCTCATCTCTACAGTAAATCAAAAAATTAGTTGGGCATGGTAGCGTGCACCTGTAGTTCTGGCTGCTTGGAAGGCAGAGACGGAAGTGGGGTGGCCGTGAGCGTGCCACTGCACTCCAGCCTGGACGACGGAGTGAGACTCCAACTCAAAAAAAAAAAAAAGAAAGGTTTGGGAGAAGCTCATGAATGATACATTTGCTCTTTTAAAGCTAGTTAATTGCATTTATTGATAAGCTTTAGAAATAGGATACTTCTTTGCATGTACTTTTTACCTTCTGGAGTTTGTGTTTAGCTTCCTTGGGCTACGACAGATGAGACTGCTTCCTAGAATTTATTCTTCATCGTTTTTGGATAATACCACACTGTAGCTTTTTACTGCCCTCAGCTGTCTGTGGTGCTGAAAGCATATGTGTGACCGAAGCCCCTGAACGCCCAGTGCCTGAAGAACTGGAAACTTCAACAAAAGACAGCTGCCTGATCCCGACACCTCAAGCCCCTAGTATTGCTTTCCCCCTCGCCAACCCACCAGTGGCTCCACACCCGCGCGAGAAGGTGGGTTGGTCCTTGGTGTGTGGCTGTGGCTTATATTGCTGTAGTGTTATATTAGAAATTTATTGATATTAATAACAGGGGTTCATCTGATGTTGGCAGCTGTACATAGTTTGCATTATCTTATTATTTGTATATTTGATAACTTAGAAGACTGAGTAAAATGTCACTGTGAAAGAACGGTATGACCAATCATTTTTAATGTTAATTTTTTCTAAAATAAAACTAACTCTTTCATTACAGGTTATAATGATAGAGGAGACTCGTGAAGAATTTAAAAAACAGTACATATTTCAGTTATCATCTCTGAATCCTCAAGAACGTATTGATTATTGTCATCTGATTGAAAAACTAGGTACCAGTATTTTACTTTAATCAAAAATGTCCCATATAGTAGCCTTCTTTGGAAGTCAAGTGTGCTCAATATTGGTGTCATTTGTAAGGTCTAGAAATTGAAACAATAATTTGGGTACCTTGTCTAAGGCTGTAGATTGAGTCAACATTGGAGCTTTGATTTTATGAAGCTCTAATTTAAAGGCACCAAGTCATGGGAATTAAAATGGAAAGTAACCATCAAGGTTTAAGAATCTCCTGTTAGCTGGGCTCAGTGGCTCAGCCTGTAATCCCAGCACTTTGGGAGGCTGAGGCAAGTGGATTGCCTGAGACCGCGGCTTTGATACCAGCTCAGGAAACTTGGTGAAACCTCATCTCTACAGTAAATAAAAAATTAACTGGGCATGATAGCGGGTGCCTATAGTTCTGGCTACTTGGAAGACTGAGGTGGAAGGATTGCCAGAGCCCAGCAGGTCGACACTGGGGTGGCCATAAGTGTGTCAACTGCTCTGCAGTCTGGACGACAGAGTGAGACTCTGACTCAAAAAACAAAACAAAACAAAACAAAAACTCCTGTGTTGCTTTGAACACTTATTCATTGCTGAAACCTTGAACAAAATCAACGAAATTACAGACTTACAATATAAAACCACATTTTAATGAACTTGAAAGGTTAGTAATACCCAGAGAGAAGTTCCTTCTTATATAACATTATTCTTATTCCACTAGCTGTCAGACTCTCCACCTGACATTTTAGAAGAATAACCTGGTGTGCTATAATAGTGCTGTCCAGTAGAAACAGAATGTGAGCCACATTTTAAATTTTCTAGTGGCTACATTTTAAAAAGTAAAAGAAGCAAGTGAAATTAACTTTAAACAGCATTTCATTTAACCTAGTTTATACAAAACATCCTTCAACATGTGATCAACATGAAATACCAGTGAGGTCTTCTCCCTTTTTGGTAGTAAATCTTTGAAATCTGGTATACATTTTATGCTTACAGCACATCTCAGTTTGGACTAGATGTGCTTCAGGTGTCTGATAGCCATGTGTATTTAGTGCTATTCTGTTGAATAAATCAGCTCTGTGGAGCTTATGGTAAGAAACTTCTGATGGGATGTGGAGGGAGAAAACATTAAGAAATAATGTTAGTTTTTAATGGTGACCGAGTCAAATCAAGAAAAGAGTAAATATTATTTAGTATTTAGCTGTCCTTTTAGGAATGTAGAGAACTACAACATCCTTTTTAAAAAATATATCCTGGCTGGGTGCCATACTGTCATCCTAGCACTTTGGAGGCCGAAGTGAGCGGACTGCCTGAGCCCATGGGTTTGAGAACACCCTGGGCAACCTGGCAAGACCTCATCTCTACTATAAATCAAAAAATTAGCCAGGTGTGATAGAACTCGCCTTAGTCCATCTACTTGGAAGGCTGAGGCAGAAGGATCGTCTGAGCCCAGCAAGTTGAGGCTGCGGTGGCCGTGAGCATGCCATGCCACTGCATTCCAGCCTGGGGAATGGAGTAAAACTTCAACCCAAAAAATAAAAATAAATAAATAATATATCTCTATCAAGTACAGTTATACACGTGAAAAACTCTTCTCGGAAACTTTACTCATGTAACAATTTGTTTTTCAGTTCCCTGATAAATTGGATGATGTTATTAGTCAGATTGCAAAGCTTTCCCCAGAACTCACCAAAATGAAAGCTTTGAAGTGTCTCTCCTGTAGGTTTTCTATCTCGGCAAACTTTGGGCAAGAGTGGTAGCAATTAGCAGAGAATTGGTCTAGAAGAGGCCAAGGAGCAAAGGCAAATGAGAACAGATTGTGCTGATTCCGGACTCTTGTGACTGAAGGTTTTCTGATGTTAGGAAGCAAGGAGACATTATGATAGATACGGTGTCCAGCCCTTTATTTTGTAAAGGAAGAAGCTATAGCCAACTAATTTACATAAATAAATTATTTCATTATGTTGCTAGGGTCACAGAATAAATTTGTTACATAGAATTGGAAGTCAGTATTAGTACAGAATTTGTTTGTGTTTTGTTTTGTTTTGTTTTGTTTGAGTCAGAGTCTTACTCTGTCGCCCAGACTGTAGTGTAATGGCACACTCACAGTCACCCCAGCATTGACCTGGCTCAGGCAGTCCTTCCAGAAGCTCAGCCTTCCAAGTAGCTGAAACTACAGGTGCACGCTACCAAGCCCAGCTAATTTTTGTTGTTGTTGTTGTTATGTTGTAGAGATGAAGTCTTACCAAATTGCCCAGGCTGGTCTCGAACCCCTGGGCTCAGGCAATCCTCTTATCCCTGCCTCCCAAAGTGCTGGGATTACAGGCCACCGTGCCCGACCAAGTATAGAATTTTCAGGCCAAATGCAGTGGCTCACGCCTATAATCCCAGCATTTTGGGAGGCCGAAGTGAGAGGATTGCCTGAACCCATGGGTTTGAGATCAGCCTGGGCAACTTGGTGAGACCTCATCTCTACAATAAAACAAAAATTAGCCAGGCATGGTGGCGCACACGTGTGGTTCCAGCTACTTGGAAGGTCGAGGCTGAAGGATCGCCTGAGCCCAACAGGTCATGGCTGTGGTGACCGTGAGCATGCCACTGCACTCCAGCCTGGGTAACAGTGAGACTGACTTTAAAAAAAATAAACGAAAAACAGGGTTAGATTGAGGTAAGGTCCGGGCTCGGTGGCTCAACCTGTAATCCCGCACCTTTGGGAGACTGAGGTGAGTGGATTGCCTGAGCCCGCGGGTTCGAGACCCGCCTGGGCAGCGAGACCTCATCTCTACAATAAATCAAAAAATCAGTCGGGCGTGGTAGCGCGCGCCTGTAATTCCGGCTACTCAGAAGGCTGAGGCGGAAGGATCGCCGGAGCCCAGCAGGTCGAGGCTGCGGTGGCCGGGAGCGGCCACTGCGCTCCAGTCTGGGCGACAGAGTGAGACTTCAACTCAAAAAAAAAAAAAAAAAAAAGATTGAGGTAAGGGTGGCAGTTTTGATAATTTTAGACTCTAGGTGGCCAGTGTATGTATGAGGGATTATTTTACTATTTTATCTGCTTTTATATTTAACATTTTTGTAATAAACATTTTACTATATGCATATAAAGCAAAATAATTGTCAGTCGTTTTTCTGGTTTATATAGTTTTGTGTATTTTGTTTATAAACAATTTCTGTGCATAGTTGAGATTACATCTTTCTTAGAAAGAATTAGGAATCAGTAAAGCACAATCACAGGCGCGCGCTACCTTTTTTTTTTTTTTTTTTTAACTTAAGGTGGATTAGTGATAGAAAAGCAGAGCTTTGACCCCAACTGCACACACATTGTTGTGGGACATCCACTTCGAAATGAGAAGTATTTAGCCTCGGTGGCAGCTGGGAAGTGGGTGCTCCATCGTTCCTACCTGGAAGCTTGCAGAACTGCTGGACGCTTCGTGCAGGTGTGTATTCACAATTGCAGATGTCCTTTCTGTCTCAACAAAAGCTATGGAATCAGCACCACCAAGCTCCAAGCTGAAGAAAGGAAAACCTGCCCCTTTCGCTCTGCTAGAAGCTGGAGGGTGCTGGGACCCTGTGTGGTAGTACATAGAATTCTAGCTTTTTTCCTCCTTTCTCTGTATATTGGGCTCAGAGAGTACACTGTGTCTCTATGTGAATATGGACAGTTGCATTTATCAACATGTATCTGTCTACTTTCTCTTGTTTAAAAAAAGAAAAAAAAAACTTGAAAATTGGGTTATAGAAGATCAGTGAAGGATGGATTTGAGATGTTTGGATGGGTTAAGTGGGCATTTTGACAACATGGCTTCTCCTTTGGCACGCTTAATTATGATGCTTAATGGACATTTTTGCAGTTTGAGATGACACTTTTTTTTTTTTTGAGTCGGAGTCTCACTCTGTCGCCCAGGCTGGAGTGCAGTGGCACACTCATGGCCACCACAGCCTTGACCTGCTGGGCTCAGGCGATCCTCTGCCTCAGCCTTCCAAGCAGCTGGAACCACAGGTACATGTCATCACACCCAGCTAAGTTTTTGATTTATTGTAGAGACGAGATCTTGCCAAGTTGCCCAAGATAGTCTCGAACCCCTGGACTCAAGCAATCCTCTCGCCTTGGCCTCCCAAAGTGCTGGGCTTATAGGTTTGAGCCACCACGCCCAGCCTTAGACAACATTTTTAAAATAAATTGTCTCCTAATGATGACTTGAGCCCTACCACTCAATGGGAGAATCGGCAGAACCTGTTATGAGCTTATTGGAAATTGACATTCTCTATTGTAATTTTGTCCTGTTTATTTTTAAATTTTCTTTTTGTTCACTAGAAAGGAAAGATGATGCTCAGTTTTCTTTCTTTTTTTTTAGAGTAGAAAAACAAGTTTATTGAGCACACTTCAAGGAAGAAGCAAGCAGAACAGCAGTGAGGGAGCTGTCTGCTGATGCTCAATTTTCAATGTTAAAAGTGTACAAGTTGCTGTAGTACAATAAAACTAAATGTATGCACAAAAGTAAATGTCCTAAGAAATTCCAACACATGCACTGACCACTCATATAGTTAAAAAACCAAATCGCTAGCCGGGCGTGGTAGCGCGTGCCTGTAGTTCCAGCTACTTGGAAGGCTGAGACGGAAGGATCGCCAGAGCCCAGCAAGTTGAGGCTGTGGTGGTCGGGAACATGCCACTGCACTCCAGTCTGGGCAATGGAGTGAGACTCCAACTCAAAAAAAAACAAAAAACAAATAAATGACCATTTAGAGTATACCAACATTGTAAGATTTTCTGTAACAATTAAAGCAAAAACTTAATAGAGATCACAGTACCAGATTGTTTTATTATTTTTAAAAATTATTTAATTTGAATATCAAGTTTTTAAATTGAAATAATATTATCTAGCTAGGGACGGTGGCTCATGCCTGCAATCCCAGCACTTTGGGAAGTGGAGGCGAGAGGATTGTCTGAGCCCAGGGGTGCGAGACCTTTTCTCTACAGTAAATCAAAAAGTTAGCTGGGCATGTTGGCATGTGACTGTAGTTCCAGCTACTTGGAAAGCTGAGATGGATCACTCCTGAGCCCAGCAGATCAAGGCTGTGGTGGCTGTGAGCATGCCGCTGCACTCCAGCCTGGGCAACAGAGTGAGATACCAACTCATGAAAAGAAATAAGAAATAATATTATCTTAACACAAGAAAGTTATCTCATAATTTACTACTAGCCCATTAAATTACCATTAGCTCATTAAATGTTAAACTAATTATTGGAAGTATTTGGGTTTCTAGCTGACCATCACAGTAGTATCCACCATATAGTTTTTGAAGTTTTCACTCAGAGTCCCTTTGGGATCTCTTCCCTAGATAGATAATCAAGTTGTGAGTATATACCTCCTCTAAGACTGTCCTTCGGTGAAATTAGTCTTATAGCAGGTAAGCCTGATAATCTCAATATTACTATCATGTGCTAGGAAGTAGTTATTATTTTTTCTTAAAAATATATGCAGTTTTTTTCTGACTTCTAATTAAAAGCCAGATATACTTTTATATGAAACCAAATCCATCTACATTTCTTTCATGCTCATAAAATGATACTCTCAATATTTATTGCAATTGAATGTATAGCTTTAACTGACTGGGCTCCTTGAGGACAGAAATCTGTGTATAGCGCAGTAGTTCCCCATTTTATAGAAACTCAAAAGTTTGCTGGACAAATTCTTTAGGAAGAAGACTATGAGTGGGGAAGTAGTTCCATACTCGACGTTTTGACTGGAATCAACGTCCAGCAACGAAGACTAGCGCTTGCAGCAATGAGATGGAGGAAAAAAATCCAGCAAAGACAAGAATCAGGCATTGTTGAGGTATGAACACATCTACTCACGATATATGCAACATAAATGGCATTCAATGTTGTGACTATTCCAAATGGTTTAAGAGAATGTGCTTGACCAAATAAAAATAATTCGACTTGTCTTTTATCTCTTGATTATTACACTTAGTATGGACATTCTAAATTGAACTTAATGTTAATTCTTAGTTTTTCTAATTGTGTGTGTGTTTAGGGGGTGTGTGTGTGTGTTTGTTTGTTTGTTTTGAGTCGGAGTCTCACTCTGTTGCCCAGGCTGAAGTGCAGTGGCATGCTCACGGCCACCACAGCCACAACCTGCTGGACTCAGGTGATCCGCCTCAGCCTTCCAAGAAGTTGGAACTACAGGTGTGTGCCACCATGCCTGGTTTATTGTAGAGATGAGGGCTTGTCAATTTGCCCAGGCTGGTCTTGAACCTCCGGACTCAGGCAATCCTCTCACCTCTGCCTCCCAAAGTGCTGGAGTTGTAGGCATGAGCTACCACAACCAGCTAATTGTGTTTGCATTTAGAATCTTTTTAGCATCTAGCTTAAGAGTTTCTTAACCGGGTCTACAGGCAATATACTTTGAATGGGAGAAGAAAAAAAATCCAAAATTATTAACTTCTAACTGAAAGTTAGCTTTTTCTTTAATTATGGGTCTAGGCAATAAATCACAAAACTATCAACATTATACCTGCAACTTTGTACCAACAGAAACCAGATGTTTTTATTTTACATTATAATTGTAGTATCTTGAAATGCTGTTTGCGTTCATTGCTATTTAAGAACTATAGCTAATTACTATTAGACCCAATGCTATGTATTATGATTTAGTGCATTAATAAAAGGTAGAGAAGGAGTCTATAGATTTGACCAGACTGCTAGAGGCAGTTTGGCTCACAAAAAGGTTAACCCACTGTGTTATATTTCAAGTTCTGTAATATCTCCAAATCCTTGTTAGCCTTGATTTGCTTTCTGTTAGAGTAGTTCCACTGGCTTCTGTCATTATTGTTATTCCTTACTTACATATTTTATTTTTCCAATTTGCAAACATTTCCAAGAGAAATATAATGCAGGCTTTATCTAATCTAAGAAGCTATGTTTCAAGCTCTACCTTTAATTAGTTGTAAGAGAAAAATACTAGAAAAGACTAAGCATAACTTAGGCTGCTTTGTTTAATGTTACCTAATCATTAAATGAGTTTCATTCCTCAAGTATTTCTTATTTATTTCTTTATAGAGATGGGGTCTCTCTGTTGCACAGGCTGTGGTGCAGTGGTCCTGGGCTCAAGCGATCCTCCCGCAGCCTCCTGAGTAGCTAGGACTACTACAGGTATATGCTGGCTGATTTTTAAAAATGTCTTTTTTGTAGAGACAGTGTTAGACTGGTCTTTAACTCCTGACCCCTATTGATCCTCCCACTTTGGCCTCCCAAAGCGCTGAAATTATAGGGATGAGCCACTGCACCCAGCCATCATTCCCCAAGTATTTATTAAAGGCCTACTGTATGCCAGATTCCATGGTTGTGTGTTTCAGGGCATTTCGATCAGAGACAATTACGCTGTGGCAAAAGTAAAGGTTATAAGGTCTGCTGACATAAAACTAAAATATTCCATTCTCTGTATGATTTTGTCATTTATTTTCCAAATGATTGAAACACTGATCATTTTTATTTGTAGGGGGCGTTTAGCGGGTGGAAGGTTATTTTACATGTTGAACAGTCTCGAGAAGCAGGGTTCAAACGCCTTCTTCAGTCAGGAGGAGCAAAGGTTTGTACTGAAATGATTTACTGAATTTTTTTAACATAATCCTCTGCACTTGGATATCCCCTCTCAGGAGACATAAAGAGACTGCTGGTGATTGTACAGAGTATACCAGCACAAATTTTCCAAAAATGTATGTTTCCTTGAGGTTTTCCATTCAAATTGTATGAAAAAGCAAATAAAGAGATGAAATATATACTGATATATGTGTTTAAAAAGTATCAGCTAGCATTACATAGAAAGAGAATGTGTGAAATGCTTTCACAGTGATGCACAGACTGAACAATAAATTACATATTATTACTATGGGAAGAAGAAAACAAGATTGCATTATCTGCTCGAGTAGAAGAACATCAGGTGGAAGACATCAAACAAATTACTATTGCACAACATTTATCAGTGAACCTGCAATGAATGTTGGTGACTATTTTGTATGTTACTACATATTAGAAAAATGTAAGATACAAAATTTAGGGTTTTTTTGTTCATAAATTAAGTTCCTTAATGTCCAAAATTAATTATAAGCCAAATGTCATTACAATAAAATAATTGGTTCCAACACTGTACTATTTAATATGAAGTGATTTGTTCTTTACTGTTTTGTAAAGAACAAAGAAGTGTGGTCAAGTTGCTGGTAGGTGATCCACAAGATATTTCTGAATGTAAAGGGTTAATTTAATTAAATAAATAAATGTGTTGATTTTTTTCCTTAAGGATGTAACCAGTTCATTTTCTCTGCTTTTGGAGCTGATAATCCTTAAGGACATATTGTTGAATTGAACTAATTTGGAATACAGGTTGATTGTGATACTTCTTTTTTCATTAGGTGCTCCCTGGTCATTCTGTATCTTTATTTAAAGAGGCCACACATCTTTTTTTTGACTTCAATAAACTGAAGCCAGAAGACTCAGGAGTTAATATAGCAGAAGCTGCTGCCCAGAACGTATACTGCTTGAAGACAGAATACATTGCTGATTATCTCATGCAGGTTTGTGGGATTCCATCCTTGACTTCCTCGTTACCAGATATATGCTTTTATGCATAGATAAGGAAATGCACATCAAAACCCTCAGCTTGTTACTAGTAGAATATTAGTCTTCTGTTATTCTCTATTCAACTCCTTTTAGTTTCACTCTATTTTTTCTCATAATAATGAACATTTATGTAATATTTACTTTGGAAATTCAGTATGAGAAGGGTATAAAAATCTAGGTACCTCTAAAAGCTTTAAAAGTGCCTTTAAATGCTGGCGTATAACAAAAACATTGATTCGGAACTCCAAGAAGAAACATTTATCCGAAGTTCCTTCTTTAGTTTTCTTGACTTTTTGCATTGCATTTAATAAATACCTATGTTAGACACTATGGTAAAAATTTAAGCATTTGCTATACAGAGAGCTTACCTACTACACACATATTCAGAATTGGCCTGTGTTGTGTGATTTGAATGAGAGAAGAAAAATCTTCCTGATACCAGAGTGCCTGAAAGGCCATCAGAAATCAGAACAGGACACATGATCACTTATCACGAAGTATTTAAGATAGAATGGTATAGAAATAAGAGGATGCCTTGTGAGGTTGCTGCTGGTTTTGTGGGGTTACTCAGGATTTAATAGAAAGAATGCCTAAACCAGGCTTGGTGGCTCAGCCTGTAATCCCTCGCTTGGGGAGGCTGAGGTGAGTGGATTGCCTGAGCCCGCGGGTTCGAGACCCGCCTGGGCAACTTGGCGAGACCTCATTGCTACAATAAATCGAAAATGAGCCGGACGTGGTAGCGCGCGCCTGTAGTTCCGGCTGCTTGGAAGGCTGAGGCGGAAAGATCGCCGGAGCCCAGCAGGTCGAGGCTGCGGCGGCCGGGAGCGACCACTGCACTCCAGTCTGGGCGACAGAGTGAGACTCCGACTCAAAAAAAAAAAAAAGAATGCCTAAAACTTAATGTGAAGCCTCTGTTATAGAGCAGTGGGCATACTGATCAGGAATTACAAATCCAGTAATATCGCTCCATGAGCACTTAAATACATACAAACCTTCGTTACAAACAATGCACACTTGAATTTTTTTTTACGTACTGTTTCTCTTCACTAGGTGTCAGTATAGCCTGTTAAATACATAACAGTACTATATAGCTGTGTTAATTGGGTACCTAGGCTTACTTTGATGTACTTTAAAACAAATTGGACTTACAAATGTGCTTTCAGAACCGAACTTGTTCATATGTTGGGAACTTTCTGTAGCTTGTTAAAGAGCTCAATTTATTGAGACATGGGGTTTCAAATTTTTCCTCAAATGGAAAAAAAACTCCAGTCAAATTCAGCAAGGAGAGCCACATACCTAAATATCCTGGTCGTACTTTTAGATAACAAGGACAGAAAAAGGAAAAGTCCTACAGAAGTCCCACAGACATGTAAGCCAGAAAAAGAGCACACCTCAAAACCCAAAAACCACCAAAACTCATCTCTTCTTCCCTGCAGCTCTACATACCAAAAGATTGGGCAGCAGAGCCTATATGGTTTGAGGGGGAAAGTGCCACCCATGAATTTCATATTTAGTCAAGCTTTCATGTGTAAAAAAAGAGACATAAATATATGTGCAAGAATTCAAGTATACCATTATGTGCCCTTCCTGAAAATGATTGATCATTTTATTTCAATTTAATTTAATTTACATTGAGTCTCACTGTTGCCCAGACTGGAGTACAGTAGCACAGTCACGGCCACCGCAGCTTCTTCCTGCTGGACTCAGGTGATCCTTCTGTCTCAGCCTTCCAAATAGCTGGAACTACAGACATGTACCACCACGCCTGGGTAATTTTTAGACTTATTGTAGAGACAAGGTCTTACCAAGTTGCCCAGGTTGGTCTTAAACCCCCGGGCTCAGGCAATCCTCTTGTCTCTGCCTCCCAAGTGCTGGGATTGCAGGCCTGAGCCACGACGCCCAGCCTTGATTAATGTTAAAGCAGCTACACATACATCAACATCAAGAACTCTTAATTACGGAAGTCAGTATACCAACAATTGGCCTTTACTGACCCCTAATACAAATAATCTGAAATGGAAAGCAAAATTTATATTCTTAAAATAGTTTAATTAGAAAAGTGGAAAAACACCCTAACTAGTAGTACAGAGGCACGTTCATGTAAAAATTACTCTGCAACTACTGCCGGTTGTGCTTATGAAGATTCTTTAAAGGCATGAGAAGTAGCTTAAAATAAACATCAGAAAACTCTTTATTTTTATATACAATGTGATCTTAACTCAATAAAGAAAAAAATGTGCAAAACAAACAACCAACTGGAAAAAGGCTGCCCCTGCTGAGATTGTTAATGTTACTTACCTACTTCCTTAAAATATTTTAGTGCTTGTTCTAAATTCTCTGTAATGAGCCAGGCTTGGTGGCTCAGCCTGTAATCCCACGCTTTGGGAGGCTGAGGTGAGTGGATTGCCTGAACCCGCGGGTGGTATATTTTTCATTCTAAATTTGATTCTTCTAAAAAGCTGTTTTTGGAACATTTTATTATTTAAAAAACATTGAATGAGTTTTTTCAATGAACAGTATGCCTACTTCCCATAACACTTATTTACTTATTTATATAATTAATATTTAATATTTGCTTTATCACAAATCCATCTTTTCCCTATCCGTCTTATTTTTTGCGCATTTCAAAGTAATTTAGATACTTAAGTATTCATATCATTAGCTAAAATCCAGTATGTGTTTACTGTTCTTTTAAAGTTAACATGACAGTGAAATTAATAGATATTAACTGTATAGTCCATTGAATTCTGATGATAATCCAAACCCTATCACTATGAAGAAAGTGACTATTACCTCAGAAAATTTTTTTGTGCAAATCCTTACACAGTCTCAGTAAATCTCAGTAAATCCTTACTCCAGCCTCACAGAGTTGGCCATTGCTCTGATTATTTTCCTCACTGTTTATTAGTTTTACCTGTCCTAGAACTTCATATAAATGGCATCATACAGTGTGCACTATTTTATGTGATGCTTCCATTCAGCCTAACTTTGCGATTCATCCTAATTGTAGTGTATATCGGTACTTTCTTGCTTTTTATTCCTCTGTCTGACTGCACCACAGTTTATTCATTTCTCTATTGGTGGACCCCTGGGCCGTGTCCCATGTTGGCTATTAATAATACTGCTGAAAACAATACAGGTCTTTTTATGGACATAAGTTTTCATCTCTCTTGAGTAAATATATAGTAGAGGAGTTGCTGGATTACAGAATAAGTTAAGTAAGTGTATATCTGGTTTTTAAAGAAGCTGCCTGTCCTTGGCTGGGCATGGTGGTTTGTGCCTATAATCCCAGTACTTTGGGAGACAGAGGCGAAAGGATTTCCAGAGCTCAGGGGTTCAAGACCAGCCTGAGCAACATGGCAAGACCGCGTCTCTACAGTAAATCAAAAAATTAGCTAGGCCTAGTGGCAAGCACCTGTGATTCCAGCTACTTGGAAGGCTGAGGCAGAAGGATCACCTGAGCCCAGCAGGTCAAGGCTGTGGTGGCTGTGAGTATGCCACCGCACTCCAGCCTGGGTAACAGTGAGACTCCATCTCAAAAAACAACAACAACAACACCAAAAAATAAACCTGCCTGGTCTTTTCCTGAAGGGATTGTTGCCACTTTATACTCCCACCAGCAATGTACAGGTTGAGCATCCCAAATCGAAAGTTTGAAATGCTCCAAAATCCCAAACTTGTTGAGCGTTGCCATGGCACTCAAAATAAATACTCATGGGAGCATTTCAGGTTTTGGATGCTCAACTAGTAAAAAAAATGTAAATATTGAAGATCTGAACAAATCTAAAATTTGCTGGTTCCAGGCAATTCAGATAAGGGATATTCAGCCTCCATAAGAGTTCCAGTCATTCTGTGTCCTCACCAACATTTGATGTCGACAGTCCTTTGGTTTTTAGCCATCTGGCAGGTTTATAGTGGGATTACACTGTGCAGTGTAATTTGTATTCCCTGATGACTAATGATATTGAGCATATAATTTCATAACTTTTTCTTTCTGGTTGCTTTTGTATCCCACCTAGAGAAATATTTGTTTTCCCTAAGGCAACCAAGATATTCTCTAATATATTTTTCTAAAAGATCTATAGTTTAACTTTTGTGCTTAGCTTTGTGATTTATTTCAAATTAATTTTTCTTTATGCTGTAAGAGATTTTGTTTCGTTTTTTTTTTCCAAATAGATTCAGCTGTTCAACTAGCACCATTTGTTGAACACTTTCCTTTCCCCCAAAGGCTTTGGCACCAAATGACCACACTTTCGTGGGCCCATTTTTGAACTCTCTTCTGTTTCATTATCTACTTGTTTGTACATTTCCTACCCTATTTTGATTACTGTAGCTGTATAGTAACTTTGAAACTCATGTCAAGGCTACGTGTGAGTATCTTTTCCAAGATTCTCTGGGATAGTCTATGTCCTTTGCATTTCCCTATATACTTTGGAATCCTCTTTTTAGCTTCCACCAAAAAAACCTGGAGTGCCTGATTAAGAGTGGGATGGCATAGACTTTGTAGATTACTTTGGGAACAGTTGACGTCTTAACAATATTGAACATTTCATTCCGTGAACATACGTGATCTCTGTATATCTCTAAGTTTTGTTTCATTTCTCTCAGCAATATTTTATAGTTTTCAGTGTGGAGACCTTGTGTGTCTCTTATTACATTTACCTCTATATTATGATGTCGTAAATAGAAATTTTGTATGTTAGTCTTATACCCTGTGACCTTTTCAAAATTCTCTTAGTACAGTTAGTACCTTAGGTTTTTATACATAAGCTATCATATAATTTTATGTCTCCCTTTTGCCTTTTATTTCTTGTTTTCTTGTGTAGCTAGGACCTCAAGTATGCTGCTGAATAGAAGTGGCAAGACTGGACATTCTTTTCTTGTTCCTGTCTTGGTGGAAATATTCAGTATTTCACCATTAAATATATTAGGTATAGGTCTTTCATAATTTTTT